TATTGTCTAACTGCCGAGCGCGACCCATTAGTAGGTCGGGAAACCAGTCACATTCAGCAATTAAAAACAAAACAGTGAATGAAAGCAGCAGGCCTCGCAGCAAGTAAGGTAAATGTGGCTTTGGAGGTTTGAGACTAGATAATTCTCTCCATTTTGTCTCTTTTAGCGAGACAGCTGGAGGGTTTAAATTTTCACCCATTTTGTGCTGGATTGACACTAAAGATCTAAAGGATTAAGGAAATGATAAATACATTCAAAGAATACAAGATTTGAATATATTTCGTCAAAATGTACATATAAATAAGCCAAAAATTAGTTTTACATATGCTTTCAAAATGATTGTGTTTCTTCTAAATTATGTGGAATTATCTATTAAAAATAAAAAGGAAATTGAAATATCAAATTCTAAGTCATTGTTATTTAAATAAAACTGAAAATTTAAATTTTGAAATGTAATTAAATCTTTAAAATATTTTCTAAAAATAAAACCAATCAATACTAGCATTGAATGTCCAGAATTGGGATGAGGCTTAACACATGGTATATGTAGATCTCTATATATGCAAATGTAAGATTAGTATTGATGATTTAATATTGCCAAATATTTTTTCGGTTGCCTACACTGATTCTGGAAGACCTGCGGAGCCAGGAATTGGAATGGAGGCTGAGTCCTGCTGAGTTGGGATCCTTGAGTGTCTTCATCTTGTAAGCCCCTCTCCACCAGACCACTCGGCGGGAGGTCCTCTTGTCTAAGTCTAGTTCTCTGATCAAGGTCACCAGGTGCCTGCAGGTGGCCCAATCCATAGAGGCCTTGCCACCTTCCTTTACTAGACCGCATATGGAATTTGACTCTACCGATCTGTTCCTTTTTTTTTTTTTTTGCACATCTTAACTTCTTGACCTCAGTGGAAGCTTCACTGCTAGCTTTACTCCTATTCCGACTCCTCCATCTGTCTACCCAAGGCTATCTCCCTGGAGAGTCAATTGCGATTGACAGCTTGACCCAACCTCTACCCTGCCCGTCTGTGGCTCCAGCAATGACAGTGCTCCCCAAGCTTCAGATCCACATATCTTGGACATGTCCTTTTAGACATCTCCCAACCTGTTCAAGAGTAAACTCATTACTTCTCTCTCAGCCCCCCACCCCGCTCCTCAGTGTTAGAAGGTGGAGGAGAGTCAGTGAAGTACCTTCTGGACTGAGAAGGCACGTTAAGAGGGAAAAAATGAAGGAAGCCACTCCATATCGTACACAGAGTTTTATTCAGGGTAACTTACTGACAGGGAGTATGGTGGGGACAAACCATCCAGGCGGTGCCGGGTCATTCTCCACAGCTATTCTCCACCCAGTCCAACCTTAATCCCTAGATTTTATGGAATGAGGAGTATGGTGGTGAGGTCATAGGGTAGTTACCTAAAGTGGGGCCTTCTGCGTGCCACTTTAGGGAAGATCAGAACAAGCCTTCCCGCATTCCATGTCACGGCACACATTAACCTCCACAGGCCTGGAACATGTAGTGGGAGGGAGGTCACTGCTCTGGCTTGAAGAGGATGGAGGGCCAAAGGTGGGGTCAGTGTTGCCCCTACTCCTACACTCAGTCTTTAATTTCTGTTACTAAACTATCTAAAGCAGAAATGGGGAGCTCCCTCTCCTGTCCAGGTATAAACTGTGCACCTAGCTCCTTCACCCCCTTCTCCCATCTGGCTGCTGCCTCCCCACTGCTGTGCTAGCTGCTTCCGGTCTAGACCATGGCTGTGTACATCCAATTCCTCTCTATGACTCAGTCTCACTCCCATCACACATTCTGCTCATCGTTCCTGAAGGAATCCTTCTGAAATGTAAATCAGATAGAGTCCCTCTGCCTCCATCGCCAAGGAGGAGAAAGGCAAAAATCCTACTTTCCTTGTGTTTGCTGAATGTCTGAACTGATCAACTCTTGACTCTTTTGTGTTAAGAGCAGCAGATCACTTACCAAAGGGGATTCCAAATTGGGCCTGGCTAGAGGGGCAACTGTGGAAGTGGTGGAGAGGAAAGAGAAGCAGGAATTGTAGCAAAAAGCTCTGGTGGGATGCCCCTAGCTTGTTGGGAGATGGCAACAAGAAGCCTGTCCACTTTGGCTTCCCCTTAATGAAAGCCAGGATCTTTTAGGATGTTTTCCATTTCTAGTGAAGGAGGTTAAAAAAAAAAAAAGGCCCTGAAACTACAATTTGCAAACGAATCCATAAGTATTTGTGCAAGCGAAAATGTCAAAGTTGAAACTCCTGGGACACAAGCTTATTTAGACCCTTTAATTCCAAGATAAGACCATATTAGGACCATAGTAACCATAAGTTTCACATGATCGAGGTAGGACTGTACCAGCAAATCCTTCTATTTTACCAACTTTGACCAATTCCTGTCTAGACTGCCCTTATACGGTGTCATGCTAAACTTTCCCTAATTCCCGTCTTGGACACACTTCTCAGACTGAAGGCGATTCAGTCCTTTGCTTAGCAAGTTCAATAAACGAGCTTTACATGACTAATAGACTTCTCTTGCAATCTGGCGTGTATTAAGGGAGACTTCTACATACGGAAAACAGAAAAAGGGCTGAATTTGCAGGACTAAAAAAAGCAGTTCAATTGAAGTTAAGGAAGCATTTCCTGACAAGACCAGTAAACTGAGGATGTTCATGTTAGGGTGTTCCAAAATAAAGGATATTTTTACATTCCTCTCTGTGTGGGGCAACATTTCACAAAAGATGGACTCTTAAAAAGAGGAATATACTGAAGATGAGGGTCTCAGATTACGAAGAATACTCTTTTCTCACCGGAAAAAAAACCCGACCGCGGCGGCCACAGTGCGAGAATGCTTAGCCTCTAAGTCACCCAGAAAAAGTGGTCGCGAATCCGGCGGCCGTTGGGTCCCCCCGGCAGCTTCCGGAAGCGACGCCGCACCCTCCCCTCCCGCGCAGCGCGCCGCGGACACCCGACTGGCAGTCTGGTCAACAGAAGGCGCCCAATACGCGTTGACCGTGGGCAGTCGAACTTCCGCGAGCGGAATGGTGGCCCGAGGAGCAGGCCCTCCGGGGAACTTGTCCGCTGGCATCCACCCCTCCCTCACTGCCTTTCAGCCAAGCGAGGGCCTTTCAGTCTTTTGTTGGGCTACTGACAACCACCAGCCCAGTTTCCGCGCGCCCCGCCAGGAATGCCGAATTCCACCCGCTGTCGGTCTGGAGAGAACCTTGTTGCCTGACTTTGCATCAAAAGTTCTTTTGTTTTCCTCTTTTCAAAAGAACCTGCGCCCAACGTGGGGCTCGAACCCACGACCCTGAGATTAAGAGTCTCATGCTCTACCGACTGAGCTAGCCGGGCACCTACACATAGCTTCTATTCTATCCCAGAAGACTGAAATGCACGTGCAGGGATGAGGGCACACTTTTAAAAGCAATTATACAAATATGGAGCACCTACTGTGTGTCTGACTGTCCTAGTGACTAGGGCTGGAGGATCCAAAGCCTACGCTCCCTCAACCCGGGAGAGGTGGCTCTGCGGGCTCTTGCAGGGAAGAGGAAGAGATTAGCTGAGGAGCGAGACCTGAATTTATACCGGAGCATTTATGGAGGGCGTGTTCTGAGCTCTGTGCTGTTGCTGTCCCGTTTTACTGCCTGTCTCCAAAAAAAAGAGACGGCCATACACGTCCTTCCCTCTTTGTGACCACAGCCGGGGGGCCAGTCTCCTCGGGGTGCAAGAGAGGCGTGGATGAAGTGACCGTAGAAATGAAACGCAGACCAAAAGTTGTTTCCGCCCGGTTTCGAACCGGGGACCTTTCGCGTGTGAGGCGAACGTGATAACCACTACACTACGGAAACCCACACCAGCTAACTTTGACCAACACCACCTTGAAGCTACGCAGGGCGGGGAATGACTAGGTTGAACTAAGCCACAGTTCCAAGCGGCAGACGTTCCCTGCGCTGGCGGCTGAGCTGTGTTCTGGTCTGGTGGCCACACTTCTCTTGGCATGGCCTCGTATGGTTGTTCACCCACGAGGATTACTGGTTTTGGCGTGTTCGGCCACCCTTCTGAGGACGCAGGCGTCCACTGGGAGTTTCCCCACTGGCGGGAAAGCGCCTCCTGAACAGGGTTAGTTCTGCGTACGCAGCCCTGGTATCCCGCAGCCGCCGGCACTCACGGGCAATTCTGCACATGAATTACGTTCCTGTAACTGCCGCTGCAGGTTTTCCCTTCTTTTTTAATTAAAGGAGAAAATTTTCAAAAGCCTCAGGTATTATTTCTATCGCCAAAATAATTTGACAGAGATGCTCTGCGTACCAAAGCGGCATCTATAGTTCTACAGCCTGGATGGGATTCTCTCAAGTAAAATGAATACCACAAACCCAGTTTGAGCCCCTGCCCTTAGACTGGGACTCGTGCATACAGACCTCGAGGTAGTAGTTTGGGCACGTAGCGTGCGTGGTGCCCAGCTCAGAAAGTGTTGAATGAACCGACGGCACTGAACTCAGTTACTATGTGCTAAGCAACATACTAATCGCTTTGAAATTATATTAACTCTAACTTCACAAAACCCTCTGATAGGGACTATTACCCTTATTTTATATGAGTAAATACAGGACGATAAAGTTATCAAATACATCTAACACCCCCCTTTTTTACAGATGGTAGTACAGTCTACATTTTTCAGCACCTCGCTTTTCTCACCTCACAATACATCTTGAAAAGGATTCTCTTTTTACAGCTAAAGAACGTGATAATGTTCCACTGTGTGAATGTTCACGTAATGATTTCACCATTCCTTTACTGATGGGCCGTTAGAAAAGTTCATCTAAACGATACGACAGTGACCGGACGGCAGTTTCTCAAATGCGTGTGGAAATGCTAACTATAGTGGGGATGATTGGCAAGGTCTCCTAGAACTCTTGAGTTCCCAAACAACAAAGTCCTCGGCCTAGAAGGGCCGGAAGTACTTGAGGACGCTCACCGGGACCCGCCCCTCCGCTTCCGGCATCGGCCGTCCGGAGTCCCTGGTGCAGTCCTCAGTGCTCGGTTAGTAGGATGGCGCCGGGCCGACGCGGTCACAGCACCGAGAGCGGACGGCCGCTAAGCGCTTCCACCGTCCCCCGAAGTTTATCCCCAGTGGCGGGGGATGGGGGAGGCCGGTTCTTCCGGGTCGTCCGCGTTCCCTGCTCTTTCGTATTACAGAGACGTGGGCCTCCTTCGTTCTAGCCCTCACGCCCTGTTCCCGTGTGCCTGCTAGAGCGTCTCCTCGCCGTTTCCTGTCGCCCAGGGGCCCGGGAGGAAAGAAGGGGGCGTAGCGCTACGGCGGAGGGAACTCGCGAGCTTAGGAAATTCGCAGATACCGGAAGTGTTGGAAGGAAGGCCGGAAGTGAGGGGGCGGAGCCAGGAAGTGAGGAGGGGCGGGGGTTTATGAGGAGGCCAAGGGAGCGTTGGGACAGATTTGCACTCAGGGCCACCTGAGGGACTTGGCTGTAGCGCTCAGCTTTGTCCCCTCCCCTCGCAGAGACACGGTTGTCGTCTAGGAGTAGGGAACTCTGTGTGGAGGGGTGGGTTGTCGGGAGGACCTTCCTCTGCCTGCGCTTGAGGCAAGGTGTGGAGAGGCGGGGTGGGGGTGGGGCCGGGTCGTCAGGGCGTCTGAGAGGGAAGACCCCCGCCCCCCGCCCCCCCACCGCCCATCTACACTGGCTGACTGGACACTAAGATGGCTGCCGTTGCCATGGCACCCAACCCTGTGCAGACCCTTCAGGAGGAGGCGGTGTGCGCCATCTGCCTCGATTACTTCACGGACCCCGTGTCCATCGGCTGCGGGCACAACTTCTGCCGAGTGTGTGTAACCCAGTTGTGGGGAGGGGAGGATGAGGAGGACAGAGACGAGTTGGACCGGGAGGAGGAAGAGGAGGACGGAGAGGAGGAGGAAGTGGAGGCTGTGGGAGCTGGTGGGGGGTGGGACACCCCCATGCGGGATGAAGACTATGAGGGCGACATGGAGGAGGAGGTCGAGGAGGAAGAGGAGGGTGTGTTCTGGACCAGTGGCATGGGAGGGTCCAACTGGGACAACATGGACTACGTGTGGGAGGAGGAGGACGAGGAGGAAGATTTGGACTACTACTTGGGGGACATGGAGGAGGACCTGAGAGGGGAGGATGAGGAGGACGAGGAGGAAGTACTGGAGGAGGATGAGGAAGAGGAGCTAGACCCCGTCACCTCACTGCCCCCGCCTCCAGCCCCTCGGAGGTGCTTCACCTGCCCTCAGTGCCGAAAGAGCTTTCCCAGGCGGAGCTTCCGCCCCAACCTGCAGCTGGCCAACATGGTCCAGGTGATTCGGCAGATGCACCCAACTCCTGGTCGAGGGAGCCGTGGGAGCGAGCAGGGCATTTGTCCCAAACACCAGGAAGCCCTGAAGCTCTTCTGCGAGGTGGATGAAGAGGCCATCTGTGTGGTGTGCAGAGAATCCAGGAGCCACAAACAACACAGCGTGGTGCCATTGGAGGAGGTGGTGCAGGAGTATAAGGTGAGAGAAGTAGAAGAGGGGAGTTTAGTGGGGGTGGAGAGGAAGTATGAGGAGCTGGGAAAAGGAAACATGTCCCCTCCCCACCCCAAAACTTCATGCACTGGTGAGCTGATTTTCCTTTACTTAGCACTTACTGGCATCAAGGTGGGTTAGACTGAGAAGGATCCTGTACAGACAAAGCCGACCAGTGAAGAAGACCAGGAAGATTGGCTTCCTCAAAAGAAATTGGGCAAAGTGCATATGATACCGTATCATTGGGTTGCATCTCTTAGGGAAAGCACTGCTGTTTCACACTTCCACTGTCTCTAAGTATAGGAGTGCAGGTGACAATCCCCTCAGGCTTTACCACCAGTCTCATTTTCCTCTGGGTGAGTCTTCAGTCTATCCTTGACTCAGACCCCTAGAGTTGGGAAGGACTTGGGGCCTCAAAGAATAAGAAAGTGCCTTAAAGAGCAGGAATGTAGAAATGACTACTAGTGTCAGACCCAGATACTCTGCATTTGCCTTTTAATGGGTTTCTCACCTACCCCCTGATATGGCTTGTTTCTCCTCACGGACTTTTGTTAGATCTGAATCAGTCTAATGTACTGACTAGAACTTACCTTTCCTGAGAATGCAGAAAAAAGGGAGAGGCTTCTAAATCAGAAGACCGGGCTCTGCACTTGTGAATATTCACTCAGGCATCTCTAGAAGTCTTGGAACTTTAATTTCTCCAGGATTAAAAGTTAATATTTACTGAACACTTTACTTACTATGTACACCAGGCACTGTACTAAGCACTTCATGGACTCATTTAAAACTCAAAATAATCCTGTAAGTTTGATATGGTTTCTATCCCTGTTTTACAGATTAGGAAACAGATTTAAGTAACATACACGGGGCCACACATACTAGTAAGTGATGGACTTGGTTATGACCCCCTTCCCCTGCCCCGGTGCCCCAGCATACTGTTAACAGTGTCACCGCCATTTAGATGTCTTGTTAGTTTGACTTTCCTGACATGTGACTTCTTGGAGTCTGATTCTAGTTTGGATAATACTTTGCACCCTACTTCTGGCCTCACTCTTTTGGGATATAAGTAAGATTTGTCTGTGAGACAGCCAGCACAAATAGCATTCCTGGGATGGGTTTGAGATAGTGGGACCAGGAGGAAGAAAGGGTAGCCCTTATGTGGTCTGTGTGGAACTTCTTTGTGTTATGACTTGTGTTTTCATATATTGTCACACAGTAACCTCATTTAATTTTTGTCATTACCCTAATTTTAGAGTAACGAGTCTAGAACTTCTCAGCTATGAGCAGTACAGCTAAGACAAACTTATACCCTCTCATGACAAGTAACTGTTTCTTCCACACGGTGATTGTCCCAATTGCTAGGAGTTTTCAAAAGTACAGTGGGCCCTACCACTTGAGATTCTGAGTCAGAGACAGGGAGAATATCAAAATATCTTTAAGAAAGCCCAGCGTAGCATGGGGATCACTGCATTGGTAACATCACCTGTTTTTTAGGCCCTGTGTTGTTAGGGGAGGCTGTGATCTCATTTTGTCCTTTTTTTACCTCCTTTTGGCTCCTAGTTAACTGTACCCATCAATGGGCAGTCAGTTTGTTAACTGAATCTTGGGGTGGACTATTCATGGGCATTCCATCCCTTCTCCACCCTCCTCCTACAGGACTCTTCTGAAGAGCTTCTGAAACTGGATTTTAATTTGTGTTAGCCACATCTGTTGTATGCCAGCCCAGTAGGGCTCTGCAGTTTGAGGAGGCCACATAGATGCAAATAATCTGCCATTAACTGATCAGCAAATGTAAATACATAAGTTTTATTATATAAAACTAATTTGAGTGATTCCTTTTCTAACTTACAGGCTATTTTATGGGCAGGTAGTTTATCCCTTTCAAATATGTACACTAACTAGCACTAGCTTGGAACAGTGTTGTTTTTTAGAAATATTTCTTTATTGAATAGGTAATAATACAAATGATGTATAAATAATCTCCTAAAAAGGTGGAAGTCCTTGATAATTTCTCTTAAATAGTACTCTGTTTGGATTTGTGCTCATGAATTTTTTGTCAGTTATTTAGGAAAAATATTAAATGGAAATTTAAGCATCATAAATTCTGAATAGAGTTGGAGAAAAGGTAATATCAAAAGACAAAATTTTTTGTAGTTTATACTACTTTCATGTAAGGGATTGCCTTGTAATATTTTTAATGTAATTTTTTCAACAACCACTTATCCTGTGCAACAACTGCCTTTTGTACTCTGGGTCAGTAACCTCTTTAGTTCAGGGGTCATTATCAGGTTGTCACTGGCAGCTTAGACATAGGTAGAGAATACTAGATAACATTTATTGATCTTTGGTACATCCCAGACACTGTGTGAAGCATACTGTCCATAAGGTAGATTCTGTTATTCCCAATTCCCATGTAAGGTGAGGAAACTGGAAATGTGGCTCGCATCAGGTCATCTGGTTCCATTCAGGTTTAGATTGGAGTCTAGGCTTGAGCTCTTTTGCCCTGTACTATCTCTCAAGGAAAAGGAAGGAGAAAGGCAGAAGTAGTAGGAGACATTAAAAAGGAAAAAAAAAACAGGTTGGGCCCATCTTTGGTCTCTAACAGCCTTTTAAAGAAAAAGATTCTGTTACAAGTGATTGGAACATAGACTCAAATGCATATTGGCTGTGAAGGTTAAAACCTTAGGAAGAGACGGTTTTTGTTTTCCATTTAGTAAGTGAGTGGGAGAGAAATGGACAGAGAGACATAGAAATTAAGGGGGGCCCCTGCCCCCAGGAGCCCCTGTGTCCTGGGGGAGGCATACTTAAAAATCAGTGCCTCAGAAGTATTGTAAAGGTTGCATTCATGTTCCTTGGGGTGACAGAGGAAGTTGGAGGCAGGGAGGATCTGGACCATGGTCAGGTAGCTGGGTTTTAAAGGAAGCATGCCTTGGGCCAAATGGAGAAAGGCAATCCCAGGCAGAGGGAACAGCATGGATAAAGATACGGAATTACATTCAGGAAAAGACAGGTAGTTTTATGTGGCTAAAACTAAGAGTCTGTATTAGAAGGGGCAAGTGTAGGAGAGGAGGCTAGAAATGTAGAAGCAATGAGAGCCTCATATTTTGCAGGTGGTGGAGAACCACTGAAGGATCTTTAGCACAGGCACAAAATTGTCAGAGAAGTATTTAGAGATGAAAGTTACAAGGAAGATTGCTTATGAGGGGGAAGGGACCATAGGCAGGAACATTCATGTGGAAGGACTTTGTGTGGTGCGGGCTTCAGGCCAGGTCCACTCCAACTCTGAGTATGGGGCTCTGTAGTCCTCAGGATCCTACTTTTAGAGAACACACCCAGGGCTTCTGTACATGAGTGCAGGCAGAATGTTGGAGGCCTTTGTCATCATCTGAAGAGAAGAAAGGGGAGAAAGGGAGTATGATGTTTATTTGGTACCTGTGGTGGGGATCAGGCTTTGGGCCCCAGTGCACTGCAAGGAAGATGGGGGAGGTGGCCCCCAGGCACTGCAGGGAAGATGGGGGAGGTGAAAGCAGGTGCCTCTCCCATCCCAGGCCTCTAACCTTCCTTTCCCATTCCCTCAGGCCAAACTGCAGGGGCATGTGGAACCACTGAGGAAGCACCTAGAGGCTGTGCAGAAGATGAAGGCCAAGGAGGAAAGGCGGGTGACAGAGCTGAAGGTGGGTGAATGTCCTTGATGGGGTTGACTGGCTCTGTGATCAGGCAGGGAAGATGGGCTGCCCACTCTCAAAAGTGGTGGCTAGATTCCCTGAAGAGGGGCAGCCGAGGCCTGGGAGAGAAGTAGACACATTCCAGGATCCTGAAGAGAGAGGGGCTTTAGACAGGAGAGGGCGTGTTCGTTCCTAGGTTCCAAAATGGGAGTGGAAGCAGGCCTGGGGCAGAGGGGTTGGGTCCCTGGCCCAGGGCTGCAAAGCAGGCTTACCACCCAGAGACCTCACTCCAGGCCCAGTGCCCACCACACCGGATAGCACAGAGGGCAGAAATGGGCAAGGAAAATCCACATAACAGCCATCAGAGGAGCCCCAGTTCCCAGGACAAATGGCAGGGCAGCCCTGAGCAGGAGAGGGGGGCCAGAGTGTTTAATGGACAATAGGAATGTTAGCATGGCAGAGACTTAGTCTTTTCTAGTCCAGTGTTTCTCAGCTGTTTTTTTTTTTTTTTTTTTTTAAAGATTTTATTTATTTATTTGAGACAGAGAGAATGAGAGAGACAGAGAGCGCATGAGAGGGGGGAGGGTCAGAGGGAGGAGCAGACTCCCTGCAGAGCATGGAGACCATGCGGGACTCGATCCCGGGACTCCAGGATCATGACCTGAGCCGAAGGCAGTCGCTTAACCAACTGAGCCACCCAGGCGCCCTCTCAGCTGTTTTTCATGATTGATCACCCCTCCCCAAGGAGTATTTTTAGATATTTTTTCCCATAATATCAACCCCCCCACCCCCAACTCTGTACCTGTTTTTGTAAGGTCAGCAGGCACTGAGAATGGCCTGGCACTGAGCTTTGGAGACCAAGCCAGGACATCCTTCTTGTCTGACCTCTTCCCTCATCTCTCCCACGCCTACCACTCTGGCCAGTTGAGGGGTCTTGCCACTTCCCAGGGCTTGTGCTTACTCTTTGCCACCTACACATTAGGAACTCTGCTGCTGGCTACTGCCAGGCACTAAGTGGTGGAATCTGAGTCTGGGAGCCATGAAGTCCTCTTGCCTCTAGCCAGATGCTCTGGGGTCCTCAGTTACAGAGAGAGGATGTCAGATCTGAGTGTCTGTGGGGCAGAGGGTGAAACTGACTTCCTTTACCCACTTGGTCAGTCAGAACTTCCTTTCCCTCTCTGGCCTGTTATTCTTTGTCCCAAGAATGTCTCTAGTTGGTGGGTGGAAAGCATGCCCACTATCGGGATTCCCCAGCCCAGGCAAATGGGGTAAGAGTGGGCAGAAGTTTTCTGTCATTATATGTAGAAGTACCTACACAGTGATGCCCATGATTTTGCCTCTTGGCTCTTAAAGTATAAAATATAATTTGGCTGTTTACAGGAAGAGTTTGCTAGACTCCGATCTAGAAGGATTGGGTGACTTTCTGAGGTCTTTAGTGGTATAGTCAAGACCCTAACTTCATATCCTGATTCCTGAATTTTTAATTTATTCATTTCAAAAAATTCTAAGTACCTACTCTGTGGTTGGTGCTCTCCCAGGGTCTGAGGACCCTGTGGCAAACAGAGATTATGCAGTGGTGGAAAAGGATGTTAAAAGATACTTCAGTGTAAACATAACCTAAGATTAATGCCATGATATATAGTGATATTTTGGGGTGTGGTCCTGATTTAGATCTGGAGGGAATATTTTTAAGCTTAGACCTGAAGAATGAATCAAGTTAGTTAGCCAGGGTGGAGATAAAGTTACAGGCAGAAGTTGTTGAGTTTGAGACCACTGTGCTGGGGGTGTGGGAGTGGGGCCTGGTAAGGCTGGGAGGCGGGGAAGGGGACAGGGGCCTCTTTCCATTTGGGATGTAGGGCTCCATTACCTTGGATTGAGGGGCAGCAGTTGCAAAATTGGAAGTTTATGTTTCTGTGTGTTGAGGTGGTATCCACCATCCCCTTTGCATCATCCCAGAGCCAGATGAAGTCAGAGCTGGCAGCTGTGGCCTCGGAGTTCGGGCGGCTGACACGGTTTCTGGCTGAAGAGCAGGCAGGGTTGGAGCGGCGCCTCCGAGAGATGCACGAAGCCCAGCTAGGGCGTGCAGGAGCAGCGGCTAGCCGCCTGGCGGAGCAGGCTGCCCAGCTGAGCCGCCTGCTGGCCGAGGCCCAGGAGCGGAGCCAGCAGGGGGGCCTGCGGCTGCTCCAGGTGAGCAGTGCCCCCTTCCTTATCTCCCTGTCTCCCCAAAACCCTGTACTTGCTCTATCAGGCAATGCTTACCAAACGTCTGTTCAGAGCTGCCTCTCTTCTCATTGAGAGGAACCCACGATGATTTAACCTAAGACCAAAAGGTTTTTTGAGGCTGGGGACAGAGTTAATGCCAAATGTGGTGTACGTGTGATTATACCCAGTGAAAAGAAAGAAGATTCAATTGTAGAATGAGGGTTTTAAAGGAGAGTTGAGGAAAGAATTTTTGACAGTGATATCCTGAAAAAGATGACCAAGTCATGTTGTGAAAATTCTTTTACTGGGGTTGAAGATTCTGTTATTGGTCTTGCACAGGATGAGATGAATTAGGTGTGCTGAGGCATAGGGATTACTGAGATAGATACATGCTTATTGAGGGCCTTGAGGGTGCTCTTTCTTACTCCCTGTTCAAGTTCAGTCCTTTCTCTGGCTGGAATCAGATTGGGAGAAAGGAGCTGTCTCTGTGCAGCTGACTCTCTCTTTGTCTCTTTTTCCCTCTCCCTCTTTTTGTTTCTGTTATTCCCAGGACATCAAGGAGACTTTCAATAGGTGTGTTGCCACCCTTTTCCTCTCTGACCCAGTGGCATCTGGTTCCCCATCCCTACCTCTCTTGGATATCCCGCTCCTTTCCTTCCTTCCCCAGGACCCGAGTTTCTGCCTCCTGGACCCTCCTCTCCTTCCCCTCAGCTTTTGCTCTTCCCTCTGGGAATATCATGGTCCCACCCCCTGCCCGGTCCCCCTTCCTCCAGGTGTGAAGAGGTACAGCTGCAGCCCCCAGAGGTCTGGTCCCCTGACCCGTGTCAACCCCATAGCCATGACTTCTTGACAGATGCCATCGTGAGGAAAATGAGCCGGATGTTCTGTCAGGCTGCCCGAGGTAGGGAGGTCACCTGTACGACCTTCCTTTGCCTTTCCCTTTACAGACCAGAGATTGGGTTCTGAGGGGGTAGGTGGGTCCCAGGGGGGGCGAATGGGGCTGAGGTGGAGCAGGATACAGGTAGGCTGCTTGGGGCTTCAAGCCAAGAGTAGCTTTTGTCCTAGTCCAGGTAGGTGTTGGTGGTCGGGGAGGGAGGTGGGTAGCAAGAGCCAGGGCCAGCATTAGACCTGTCCAGTGTCCTGGAAACAATGGGGAAAGAAGTGGAGCCCATAGGAACTCAAGTTTGGCCTCTAGGATGGGGTGGGGTGAGGACACCTGGAAGGCTGGGAGGGAGGGAGGCAAAGGGGAGGGCAGGGGAACAAGTTGTTCCAGCCCTGGCATATTTGTCCTCCCCCCTCCCAAGTGGACCTGACGCTCGACCCTGACACGGCTCACCCGGCTCTGATGCTGTCCCCTGACCGCCGGGGGGTCCGCCTGGCAGAGCGGCGGCAGGAGGTTGCTGACCATTCCAAGCGCTTCTCAGCCGACTGCTGCGTCTTGGGGGCCCAAGGCTTCCGCTCTGGCCGGCACTACTGGGAGGTAGAGGTGGGCGGGCGGCGGGGTTGGGCGGTGGGCGCTGCCCGTGAATCGACCCATCATAAGGAGAAGGTGGGCTCTGGGGGGTCCTCTGTGGGCAGTGGGGATGCCAGCTCCTCGCGCCATCACCATCGCCGCCGCCGGCTGCACCTACCCCAACAGCCCCTGCTCCAGCGGGAAGTGTGGTGTGTGGGCACCAACGGCAAACGCTACCAGGCACAGAGCTCAACGGAGCAGACACTGCTGAGCCCAAGTGAGAAACCACGGCGCTTTGGCGTGTACCTGGACTATGAGGCTGGGCGCCTGGGCTTCTACAATGCGGAGACTCTAGCCCATGTGCATACCTTCTCAGCTGCTTTCCTGGGCGAGCGTGTCTTCCCTTTCTTTCGGGTGCTCTCCAAGGGCACCCGTATCAAGCTCTGCCCTTGATAAGCCTGCCACCCGCAGGGGCCCCTCTGGTTAGCACTTGGGGGGCGGGTGGTGGTGGAGGGTGGCCCGTAAGTTTGGGGGCTCAAAGGCTCCTTCCACTGTTTGTTGCTTCCTGCTCCCCTTTGACCCAGGCCCGCTTCTCCCTCTAGGAGCCTAAAGAACCCTGGCCTGCAGCTCGGCCTTCTCTCACCTGCAATGTCTGTCCAACAGGTCTGCATGGGTCCCTGATGAGAACAGCTGCCTGGTTTTCCTTCCCTCTGTCCACCCAGGGGTCTGAGTTTGAGTAGGGGATGAGCGGAGATTTAACTCCATTACTTAACTTCCCTTTCCCTGCCCCTGCTCTTCAACCCTGTCAGTTCCCAGGCTGGGGTACTTGAGCAAGACTCATGTCTGCCCCCATTTCAATTCCATTTTCTGATGCAAATTTTAGCTAAGGGATTTGGAAGCTTTTTTGGGGGGAGGCAGGTTGGGCAAAAGGGTAGAGCTGGGTAATAAATGTCTACTCTCCAGGGGAAGTAGGAGGGATTCTGAACTCCTTCCATCCCCAATTTCTACCTCCATAGACTGGCCAGAATTTAGCTTGAGAGCTCTAGAATGGTTGACATGGTTTAAACTACATACCATTATATATCACCCAATAAATTATTTTCCCCCCCTTCCTTTTTTCCAGCACTCAAACGAGTAAAGCTCACCCCATCCAACCCCTCCAGGTCTTTTCACTGCCAGGCTCCTTTCCCCTTTGTTCAATGGAGTTCCTTGTGTCAGTTTCCAGCCTCTTCATGTCTTTAGTTCTCCATTTGGTGAGCCCTGACCAGGAGCCTGGGGACAGGGGTTTGGATCCCCAGAAGAGCCTTGGGTATAATCTATTTTTCTAGTAATCCCCTCACCTTCTGTCACTTGTCAGCTTTTGTCCTCTACTTTGATGGCAGAGGTCAATTTATGTTCCTGGGGAAAAGGGAAGATGGGTTGTGTTGTGGAAATAAAAAGTTTATTTGCTTCTTTTGTGGAGTCCTTTCCTTTAGATGAACAAAAACAGGATGAGACAACATTTTTTTCCATAGTAAGCCAGTTTCTCTAATGTGATGCCAAAGAACAGGACTAATTGTACCTTCTTGTGATAACCTGCCTTTTGCACTGGTCACATTTGGTGAGCCCTCTTTCTCAAGCATGACCTTATTCCCATAGACTGATACTCATTCCCTAGACCCATCTGAATGACCTACAGTAGTTGTTTTTTTACTGGCACCCTCTTCAGGATGCACTTGAAGATGTTTGTTTGCTGCTATTGTGGCTTTAGGACTATGGTTTTCCCAAGAATCTTCACATTTCCAAAGTCTTTCTGTGTGATTTTATCTAGCTGAGATACCATAAAAGTTGAAGCTAAAGCCAGAGATCTCATTACCATTATGAGCTGACAGAAAAGGAAATAGAAGATCTGTACAGGCTACATCAACATGCTGCATGTTACTTACTTACCCACCACTTGAAGAAAAAAGTCAGCTGTGATTATATTTACAAATACCTGCAGACCACTCTGTACAATTTTTAGTGTCTAACAATGGAAGAAGTAAAAATTATTAAGCAGCAATTCTTCTAGTGAAGAGTTGCTTCATCATAGATGGATTCAAAAATCTCCAACAAAAAGACCCAACTCGACAGACTAACCTGAGGAGTTTCAGAATATTTGTTTTGTAATCGGGCTTTGAGGAATGACAAAATGCCTATTTGTTATTTCTTTATAAGCTAGGACTGAGGTTTTACTATTCCTGAAGAACATTTTCTCCAGGCTTAAGGGAGGCCTAGAGGATCTATACTCGAGACACAGGATATTGTGATGTGGCATAGCATTACAAAGTAGCTTTTTTTATCAGAAAAAGACACTTTCTAAAAGTCAGAAAACCAATGTTTTATTCCTAGAGCTCTGCCATATTTCTAGCGGGTGCCGATGGTCACCTGCCACACACGCACCAGGTTGTCTGTGTAGCCGGCAAACAGAGTCTGCAAGGGAGAAAGGACAATGATAGGTCATGTCAGAGCCACAGAACTCTGCATTTCTAGTAATAAAGATGGCCTTTCTTTTAAGATCCCCAATCTCCTAACCACCAGGTTGCAGGCAGTATATATTCCTAGAGAAGCCAACAGCTGGTATTAAGGATTCATACTTTTGTAAAATGGTTATCTAAGGTGTTAACTGAAGGCAGGTAATCACTGCCTGCTAGATCAATTTTCCTTCCAATTCGGGAACATGTACTCTATTCACTGGCACAGCTAATCTGGTCCTCCCAAATCACCCTGGCTAATTTTGTCATTTTACTTTATGTCAAAGACACACCAAGAGCATAAAGGGAGAGAGAAAAGGTAGAAGCCAAGTCACTTAAGGAGAGACCTACTTACCTGACCATCAGCAGACCAGGCCAGAGAGGTACACTGGGGTGGCTCTGCCTTGCTGCTGGTACTGATAACTTCTTGCTTTAGTTCATCTACAATGATCTTGCCTTCCAAGTCCTGGGGAAGGAGCAAAATCAAGATAAGGAGGGACTCTGTTACAAGCATTGGCGGGGAGCGGGGGGCAGGCAGGTAGAGGTTGAGGATGTTGCTGAACAGCCTAAAATGCACAGGCGTGCCGTGCCGTGCCTCCCTTCCTCCCCACCAGAACAATCTAGACCAACATGTCAACTGTGCTGAGTTTGAGTAAATTGTTGTAATTTGCCATCCCCTTTAGTAGACAAATATCTGCCACCACTGTAAATCCCAATCTTGGGAAGCTGTTAACTTGCTCTTCCTTGATCTCCACTGATAGCCCCATGGTTGTTCAGGAAGCTTGAATCCCATCAGTGACATATGAGGAAATCACAACATTGCCAGGGCTCAGAGTACAGCCAGGTGCTCGGCCTTAACTATAGCCCACACTCACCCAGATCTTGATGCTGGGGCCCGTGGCAGCACAGAGCCAGTATCGGTTAGGACTGAAGCACAGGGCATTAATGATGTCCCCACCATCAAGTGTATAAAGGTGCTTGCCTTCGTTGAGATCCCACAGCATGGCTTGGCCATCCTGGAAAGATAAGGAAAGGGAATTAGGGCAATATGAAACCTATTCCAGATGTTAATCTCAACAGTCTCAAAATTCTGTCCCTCCCCCCACAAATGTCCCAAAAGCTAAGGATTCAAATACCAATATTTCTCTCTGAAAGCCTTTCCTTTCATGCAGGAAACCTCACCAACGCTACGTCTCTGACAACTTCTAAATAACTACAATCAGTTCTAAAAACTGAAACCTACTAATCAATAGCTTCAAGAAACCAGCTTTACTGAAAATAATCTTTTTGTTCCAAACAGTATGCCTTATCTATGTCATTTCTAGAAAGCAATCTTAGGAAATCTTGGACTGCTATCTCATTATCATAAGTATTCTTTCTAAAACACCGTCCCCCACTGAGTAGTAACTCCCAGTTCCTGAATACCTTCCCTCCAGAAGCGCAGAGGGATCCATCTGGAGAGACAGTTACAGTGTTCAGGTAGCCCGTGTGGCCGATGTGATTGGTCTTTAGCTTGCAGTTTGCCAAGTTCCATACCTAGGTTTGGGAGGTTGGGGGGTAACAGGTGAAGAACCTGGCTCTGAATCCACTGGGGTCAGGAGGGCTCAGGACAAATGAAAAAGGCATGGCACCTTATTTAAAAGCATTCCAGACAGGGTGGCTATTTTTCATTCTATCAGTAACAAAAAGGTTAAAAGAATTTGTCTTGGTCACCCAAGGACAATTAAGATTAAAAAAAATAACAAATGTTCTGTGTGTTGCTTTATGGGGGACACTGGGCTTAATTAGCTACTTCAGAGAAAGTATTAAAAACTAATGGTCTGTACTTAGAAGACAGCCATAGTAAAAGCCAACTGAGGGACAAAGCCTTCGAAGTTAGAGCCTATGACCACCTGGGAGGCAGTGGGAGAATATTCTGGCTGGTAAAGGCCCTACACCCTGGTTCCAAGCTCACCTTGACCAGCTTGTCCCAGCCACAGGAGACAATAATGGGATTGCTGCTATTGGGTGAAAATCGGACACAAGATACCCACTCCGAATGGCTCTCGTCCTGCAGAAGACAGAAATCAGGAGAAACGATCCTGGTCCCCATGAAACCCACCACCCCTTCCCTCAGTTACATGGGAAGTATTCACACCCCCAGAACCCAAATCTTAGTATTAACAAAACCCTTTAGAGTCCAGGCCAGGCTTGAAATCACCACGTACTGGCAAGATGAGAAGAACAGGAGAGAATCTTCAACATGTGCTTTCTACATGTGCCTTCACAGTTACCTGGACAGTATACTTGCATACACCCAGAGTATTCCACAGCTTGATAGTTTTATCTCGGGAGCCAGAAACAATTTGCCGGTTGTCGGAGGAGAAGGCCACACTCAGCACATCCTTGGTATGTCCTACAAATCTGCGTGTGGTGGTACCCCTGAAGAGGAGGACTTGGTCAGTCTCTAAATGCCGCAAACATCCTTCACATCAGACTATTTCCCTGGCCTTTTCGTCTCACTGGAGCTGCCATTAATCACATGAGTCTGGACATGGGTCTGATCACAACAGGCCCACGGTTGAGCATATGCCAGAGAATCCCTTCAGAATTGCAGGACATGTCCTCACTCCCGCATGGGGATTGGCTGACAATGTCATCTGTCATCACTGGGATCCTCCATTATGCCTGACCATCCAAAGACTGAGCTCCCAAGCTTACCAGCTTCAAACACTTGCCAACTCCCCGCCACAGTATGTGGCAAAACTGCTCAACCAGCCCACTCCTAACAATTCTGCCTAACTAATTAAAAAGCAGCAAGGATGGAAACCAAACAAATCCAACTATCTTTTCTAGGTACTCTCTTGCCCTACAGTTCCCACAATGAACCTCACTGTCCCTTGGAAACCACCTCCCAACACATGTACATCATTTCTGCCCAGCTTTTTCCCAGTGCCCCAAAGTTAATCGACCAGCTACTTGCGTTGTGAGATCCCAAAGACGAAGAGTTCCATCCCAGGAGCCCGAGAGGGCAAACTGGCCATCTGAGGAGATCACCACATCACTAACAAAGTGGGAATGGCCCCGAAGAGCACGCTGCGGGATGCCATAGTTAGTCTCATCCCTCGTCAGCTTCCACATGATGATAGTCTTATCTAGGGGAGGTAAGAGAGAAAACCCAGTGAGGAATCCCATAGCCCCTTGCTGATCTACTGGATAATCCAGGATCCCTCAAGTTCATTGGTGGACATAAAAGATAACAAAGACACACAAAGGTGGAGGAGAACCACAGGCTGAGAGCCGTTATTAGTCAAGGATAAGTGATTGGCTATTCAAAAAACAGTCAAGTAGAACTGAGTAATGCCATAAAGATTAAACTCAGGGGTACAGAACTTTAGCAGATTTTGGATGCTCTTTTCTAACATTCAGATCAATTAAACATCTTTTTTGAGTCTGAGATCTGAGATCTAAAGCATAAACACTACTGCTTGGGTGTGGGAAGACTAGCTGTGAGATTCTTAACAATTGCTGCTGAGGGCTGCCACAAGTGCTGAATTTGGAAAAGTTGCTTTACACGCTACCAGAGTGGATGCTTTCAATGAAACATGTTAGACTGAACAAGCTTTCCAATTAAGCACCAAACATTACCCCAGCCTCAGCCTACTTTTAATAGTGTGGAGGCCAACAAAAGGCACAAGAGGCCTCGAACCGCTGCCAAGTTCAGAGAATGAAAAAACCGAAGGCAGGGGGGAAAAAAGGCACGGGCCAGCAAGGAGACTGGAGACACGACTTTCCCTTGGAGTCCATCCACTACCCACTAAGCACAGGGCCGGGCAGAAGCTCAGAAACAGCCTCTGGATCTCAGCACAAGCACTCAGATGGCATGTTGGGATCATCACTGCCCCGCCCGACCCCGCAGGCTTCTGTGAACACTCAGGCACACCTGCGAGAAGGTGGGTATGAAATAAAACTCCAACCCTGCAATCCTCCTGCCAGCCACGAGCTAATCTAGGTCTCCATCTCCGCCAAGTGGGAATGCCTCACGGGCTTATCCGGGCTGAAGCCTAGGCCCGGGTCCGCATGCCCCAACTCACACCGGGACGGAGTTTTCCAAGCCGCCAACTCGCGCGCCACTGGCAACGCCGGGCGACGCGCGCAACCCACTCATCCCTCAATCCTTTGCCCCGCACCTTAGCCCGTACCTCGAGAGGCGGACAGTATCATGTCCGGGAACTGGGGAGTGGTTGCGATCTGAGTCACCCAGCCGTTGTGGCCCTTGAGGGTGCCACGAAGTGTCATCTGCTCAGTCATGGCGGCGGCGAGTGCGGATGTCGCCGCGGCGACAAGGATGGAATTGGATAGTTCAGAGAGACCTGCAACACAGCCACTACCGCCCCGGCCCTGCGGAGGAAAAGGGAGAAAAGGCCCCCGCCGGAACCGGAAATACCCGCCCGTTCGAGCAAAAACGGCGGCCCCCATAATGCACTTCTGCTTAAGATGGCGGCGCCACGTAGGGCAAAGGGCGAGGTGAAAGACAAAACTTCATGGTTCCCTCGCTACGCAACAGTTTGGCAGTGCTATACAAAAACATGCTGAAACCAACCCCACCAAGCGTTTAAAAAGGCCCCTCAAACGTACACTGGGGCATGATGTGTAAGAAGCGGAAGACGGTAAGCGCACAGCATATTCCCATAAGGATCGCCCTGCGCCTTCACTGCCCCCACGTGGCACAGCGCGAGCCCCGCCCTTTCCGCTTGGTGCCTCGGAGGGCGACGCTGAGGGAGCTTAATTTCGAGGTGAGAACTGTGAGTAACGGTAAGCAATATGAAAAATATGGTAGTCAGCTTTTAAAGTACACTGCTCAGGTGAACTACTAAACCCTGACAGATTTCCATCGCAGTGGACAGCTGCTCCCTCAAGAGGTTTTTGCTCTGAGGGAATTGACTGAGGCACTCCCTGTCCGGAAGGACTTAGTCCAGGCAGAAGTTCAGACAGGAATGGGTTACGGAACGAAAAATCAGCCTGTGGGCTGCTTGTCGGCCACCCAGCTCTCGCCGTGGCAGGAGTGCGGAGAGGCGTCGCAGAAACTAGAAGGAGAGGAAAGGCCTCCGGGTTCTGACTTCTGCGGACTCGGGTCGAAAGCCGGCTCTGAGCCTCACCACCTCACAGAAAGGTCGGCCGGTCTGCGGGTCCAGGCGTGCCCCCAAGGAGGTGCCCTCAGACTGGGAAACAGTGGAACGTGGTTCCCGGGCTGCCTACCGGCCTCCCATTTAACCGCATGGTATGTGAATATGTGGTGCCTCCCACTACCGCACATCCTTGGTATTAAGAGATGATGCTGGCAGATAGCGCCCTTGTCACAAATTTTTTTAAAGGGGGAGAGGCACAGACCAGGGTGATAGCAGTCGCTGTCATCTATGCAAAATAAGGGGAGATTATACATACGTATTTATTTTGTTTGTAACACGTATTTTCACATCTGTGAAACGAGGTTGGAAATAATAGTACCTACCGAAAGTGGTGTTGAGGAGAGTAAATGAGTTAAGATAGGTTTAAGCGTCCAGAGCAATGCCTGGCAGAGTAAATGCAGGCAAACTTAAACTACCTAGCTCTTGTTTTAGGTCTTGGGGGATACAGCTGTGAGCAAGACGGTGAGGACTTGGTGTTCTTGGAGTGTACATTTGATGGGGTGAGTGGAAAGCAGATTGAGAGGGAAATTGGAGCAAAGAGGAAGGAGAAGTAGGAGACAGCCCTGTGGATATATGGGAGGATAAGGTTCCAGTCAGAGGGACCGAATATGACGGGGGCGGGGCGAGGTGGGGGGCGGGGAAGGAGTCAGTGCCAAAAGTCCTGAGCTGGAGTTTTGGAGCTGCTGAAAACCAAACAGTGGGATGGAGGTGAGGGGCAGTTGACAGGGCCGGCAGGCGTGGAGAAGGACTGTGGCTTCTCAGGGTGCGGGCCTATGTTTCAAGGGTCCCGGTTGTGTACATCACTTGTCTTTTCTCTTTAGCAACACTAAACTCGAACTGCACCCCGACTCACATGTTTTGTTTGTCCTGTGGTCATGAGAGACCCCTACCTTCACCCACACCAATATCCAGCTCGCTGTTCATAGCTCGGGTCATGCCAAGTACTCTGGGCGGTTGGGACAAATGGGGAGGTGAGAGATTCGGCGCATCTTCAAGTGGAGATGCGCAGTGCAAACACTCACTCCCCTGGCTGTTGGCCTGTACATGCAGAGGATTTGCTCTCAGTTCAAGAACACACTTCCTTTATCTCCTACCTATACTCTCTAAAGAGATCATTCCTTAGTCATATTTACCCCTCGAGAAACCTCATTTGGCTCTCTGTTTTCTTGAATGTTCCCACGGAGCCCCTGTGGAATCAACATCCCTGAGGTAGGGCCAGGAGTACAGGTTTATTTTGTTTGTTTGTTTATCAGAGAGAGCGTACAAGCAGGGGGAGTGGCAGGCAGAGGGAGAAGCAGGCTCCGTACTGAACAAGGAGCCCCATGCGGGGTCATGACCTGAGCCGAAGGTCGTCGCTTAACCGTCTGAGCCACCCAGGCATTCCCAGGAGTGCAGGTTTAAAACGAGCCTCCCAGGTCTCAGGCCTGCTCTAGAACGCGACCTTTCGGCACCGCCCGGCCCTTTTCCAGAAACGGTTGGTTCCCAGGCTAGCCCCGCCCTCCCCAGGCCCCCTCTGGGCGGACCCCTTCTTCGAGTCCTCCCCTCGGGCTACCGAGACCAGACCGAGATTTCTGTAGCTGTCTTTGGCTTCCCGCAACCCGAGGGCCTCGCCCTACGCCAGCCCCATACTCTTTGAGACGGTTCTGGCAGCGCCCCCTCCTGTTGGGCCGAGGCAGGAACTCGGGTTTTGCATTGGAGCCCACCAGCACCGATCTGGCAATGCCAGTGGAGAGGGAGGAATGGGATGTAATGGACTTCCGGACGACCGGACCACAGGATTGGGCTTTCCACCTCGGAAGTTTTCCTCCAATCAGTGCCTGGCCTCCCTTCTCTTGGAGAGGATGCCGGCAAGCCACAAAACCACCGAGGGGCCTTCCTGAATCGAGGGAGGCCTGGCCCTGAGTCTCCGGACACTTTGGGTGTAGTTGGGTGCAGGGGTTGGGTGCAGGGACCGGGTGCAGCGGGAGCCTTCCCCTCTTCAGCCCAAGCTAGAGTTAAGCCCCATACATGCCTGCTTCCCTCTGGGGCCCCGCAGCTCCCTGCTAGGCGTATGGGCCCACCTGGACTACTCACTCCTCAAGCCTGGCCCCTTCCAGTGGGATGACTTCTCTCGGCTGCGGGATGCATCTTAAGAATAAGCCGCCTGCTTCCCATAACAGTCTGCTGCCTCTGTAGGCATCGGTAGGGCCTCTGGGCCTTTTCATTACACGTGTCTTTGATCTGGCCTCTGGGAGGTGGAAACCTGCTGGAGGGCCCCACCTGACCTTGGGAGAAATTGGGGAAAGTTAATCTGCAGAGTCTTCTTTGTGCTCCTCAGGCCACCCCTCTGGTAAGTTCCCCACCCACTTCTGGTCCCATCCCTTGGGCTGCCCGTCCTCTCCCATGTCCCCACTGGTACCACCTTCAGGCCCAGACAAGGTAAACAAAGGAGAGAAATTGGAAATGCTCTTCTAAGGAAGTCTGTCCCTGGGGTGCCTGGGTGGCTCAGTCGTGAAGCGTCTGCCTTCAGCTCAGGTCATGATCCCAGCGTCCTGGGATTGAGCCCCACATGGGCTTCTCTGCTCATCAGGGAGCCTGCTTCTCCCGCTCCAGCTCCCCCTGCTTGTGTTTCCTCTCTCGCTGACTCTGTCAAATAAATTTATAAAATTAAAAAAAGGGGGGGTAAGTCCTTCTCACCATTCCTTTTCTGCTGGGAATCCCTAAGATCGACACAGCTGGAAGAAGCCCCTCTCGTTTCCCTGCTAGAGGCCTATGACCTCTTCTAGGAACAGAGGCCTCTATTCCCTCCTGCCAGCATTCAGGAGATGAGACAGGTCTTCCCTTCCATGAGGTGGTGAGGATTATTGTGGGTGATAGGTGAGGGGCTGAGGGAAAGGGCTGTGGCCAAGACCAGAGGGCCTCTGTCAGCTAAAGCAAGTGGCTTCCCTTCATTTTGCTGTTCCTCTGCAGATTCAGTGTGGTTGGCATTGGCATGCCCCATACTCCTTTTGTGGCTAGCCTGGCTCTCCCATGCTCTTCCAACTGTCAGTTCTCTCCCACACAGAACACACACATTATTCTGCCTGGAAGGCCCACCATATCCCACCCTCACTTTTCTTAGTTAATCTAAGTTTCCTTCAGGTCTCAACTTAGGTTGCCACATCAGGGAAACCCTCTTGTGACCCTCAAGTCTAGGTTAGGTTCCTTGTTTCATGCCCTCATGGTGATGGTGTTCGGGGCCTTCACAGCACTTAGTTCAATTTGCCCTTATTTGAATCCCTCAGGGCTTTTCCTCAGTGCCCTGAGGTCAGGGACTGGTCTGTTTGGGCTGCATTTGCTGGTGGAGGGTTTGGTTGTGGAAGATTCTAATCTTGGTGACTAGCGTCATAGGCTAAGTAGTTAAGGGCAAGTAGTTAAAGGGTGTTTCAGGCAGAGGGATCACCATGGGGAAGAGGTGTTAAGAGTGGTTTGCATGCAGAGGTTTGGGAGATGGTTTCAAATGGGAAGGTAGGATAGAGTGAAACCCAAGGTGATCAAGAAGCCCCTATCGAGGAGTTGACTAGTAAGGAATTTTGTCCTGAAGCCTAGGACTGTCTCTTTAGGATTATCGTAATCCCTCTCCTGCCTAGACTTGATTTTGCTGACGGTCATTTGTTGTCAGAGTGGAGGGTAGGTCGGAAGAGTGAGACTAGAAAGAAGAGTTTAGAAGCTGGACAGGAGGATCTGTAGGAGAGTCATGAGAGTCCTATAAAAGGAGGCACTGAGAACTTCCTACTGGCCTTATGAGTGAGTCAACATTTCATCTAATCCATATCTCTCCTCCCTACCCCACCTTCTTCACTCCAGTATCTAGAATTGGGCTCTGATTATAGAAACTATTTCATGATGAGACCTAAAGAATTAAGTTTAAAAAGGTTGGAAGGAAACAGGGGAAGTTCTATTCTTAGGTTCTGTTCCATTATTCCTGGTGAGAGGTAGGGATGTGATCTTAAATCAATGCCGGGAACAGATGTTATCAAAAAACCATGTATCATTTCTTTATGTCTCTTGATAAATATTTAGTGTCCATCTTAGGCAGAAATCTGAGGTCTAACAGTCCCCTAGAAAGCTGCTAAGGCATTCTGTTGTGTTTTCCCTGGGAGATGGACTGTGGGATTCCCCAGACCCTAGGTGCTTCAGCAGATATGCAGTCAGAGGTTGTGGAAGTGGGCATGACCCAGGCAGGTCTGGACTGTAGTCCAGGCAGAATTATAAACATGCTAGGAGAAGGCAAGCCTCTAGCTTGTTAAAGGATTTAGAACACCATTAGGTGGTAGGGAGAAACAAAAGGTGACCCAGGGTGCCCTTTTTTTCAGCTTTTTACCTGGAAGAGAATTTGATAAGAACTAGGGTTGGGAGAATATGTTGAAATGGAACTTTGAGGCTGGCTACTTACCACAAGATAAGAAGGCTGAAGAGGAAACAGTCCTTCCTGCTCATACTTGGGTTAAATAACCAGAGCTTGCTGAGAAATTCCATCCTCTGCTGGAGGGGGAGAGAGAGGATTCTATGTGCTTAAGAAATGCAGACAGAAAGGGGGTGTGACCTCCAGTGATCCTCTTCCAGGTGACCTTTGTCCTTCATTTTTGTGGGGCCCTGCTTGGTACCAAGTGGAATTGTCAATCAGAAGTCTCTGACCAACTCTGCATCTGAGTCCTTTAGGATGGGGTAAAAGATTAGGAAGGCCTAAGCTATGGACGAATAAGAATAAGCCCCTTCCTGTTTTTTAAGGCTATTTCTAGCTCATTTTCCTCCTTTGGGAGGGATAGAGGTGGGGAGAAGAGTAGTAACTCTTCCTTCCTTCTTTGCTGGTCTACTGTCACATCTCCTCCTCCAACTTCTCACATGCCAAGATGAGCTATTTCCCCCTGCCCAGGGTTCTCAGACTGTACCTCTGAGGACTATGGTTCGTGGGCAAAGACTATATCATTAAAAGTTAAATTTGTCACCACTTTTAGTTCTCACAGTCTCCTCCTTTTCAGCCCCGTTATTCCGAAAACCTCTCACTTCCTCTTTTCTCATTATCACTACCAGTACAGACTGCTTTCCCTTCTAGGACTCCATGATTTCTTTATCACCCTGTCAGGATTTAGGTGTGAGAGGAGAAAGGGAAGAACCCACTTACCTACTTTAATGCTAGGTTTTGCCCCACATCCCATTGTCAAAAAGTCAGGCACCAAATAAAACCTTATTTATTCTTATATTCCTCCTATTTTGAGGCCCCAGCCCCGGCTCTTTTTTGGGAAGAGGGTAAAACGGTTTGTTTTTTAGCTACTTCCTATTAGAGTTCTCCTCTATCACATTTCTCACATGTGATCCACATGAATCACAAGTGGAACTGGTTCAAGACTGTTTTAGTCACATTTTTAAAAAATACAAGAAGGCCTTCTTTTAAATATTTTCTTCTATGCCCCAAAATACCACCTTTGAGCCTACCTCTCTTGATTGGGAAAAGAGAGTTCCCACTTCTTTTTCATCTTCCCTGTGGACTTGCTTCTACTCCTGAGAGTCCTAGAAAGGACCAGAATTCAACCTGTCTTATTTCTATGGAACTGTACAATTCATTGTGATTTGACAGCCACTAGCCATGTATGGCTATTTCAAATTAATTAAAATTAAATACAATTAAAAATTCAGTTCCTGAGTTGGACTAGACACATTTCAAGAGCTCAAGCTCAAGGTAGCTAATGATACCTACTACATCAAACAGCACAGATTGAGAACACTTCCATTGTTGCAAAGTCCTTTTAGACCTGGTACAGCAGGCTGTCTTATGTCCCCCTATTTGTTACCCTATTTTAGCAGTTGGTAAATGTAATAACCTCACTATTACAGGATAACTTTCGGGGGCGGGGGGTCAGGGATTGGGGGTGGAGAATAGCATAGAACTCTAGGTCCTATAAAGATTTCTGGAGGCATGGCATAGGGGCCAGAGGTTGATGGCCAGTGGCAGGAGACCTAGGTTTTAAGGAAGTGCTTTAGGAGCTGATGTTATATGTGTGATTCCAGGGCCACACACACCAACAGGAACAGACAGGTTCTGGTTTTATAAGTTCTGCATAATACTTAAAAACCAAAGCAAAAAAAATGACTGTCAAAGTGATTGGCTCTGCTGAAACTGATGTTTGCTGAAGTGATTGCCTTACTCATCATTTCTAGATCTTCATTTCATATACTGCTTTATCTGTCATAGCCCCTGTTCTCCCAAATGGCAGTGACAGAGGCAGCTCTGGTTTAAAAAAAGGTCTGCTGACTCTGCCACCTGCCTGCCAAGAGCTGGGAGAAGTATGAGTCGTATCAATTAATCCACTAAGACTGCGTTTAATAAGGTTCTAGCTAGGTGGAGCTATTCTTCCATTCAACACTTTTAAACATGTAGGTCAGTCACTGGCTATAGGACATATGTAAAGCTGGTAATGGCACATCTGTGGATTTGACCACTTTCCCTGAGTAGAGACCAATGGTTCTCAACCACGGATGATTTTGTTTCTCTCACCCCTCTCCACAAGACATTTGGAAATGTTGGGAGATATGTGTGGTTTTCACAGCTGGTGGGGGAGTGCTACTTACATCTGGTGGGTAGAGTCCCGGGATGCTGCTAGGCATCCTACAGTGCACAGGACAGCCCCCCTCCCCCGAAAATAATTATCTTACTCAAAATGTCAATAGTGCTGAGGTTGAGAAACATAGATCTAGGCTACAGTGTGGATCAGTTCTTAAAAGTCCCGACTACTCATAAGGTCCAGGCTCAGTGGGATAATAATTAAGGCTAGCAAGTGTCTATTAAATTGGGAAGGAAAAAAATTAGGAGTCAGTGGAACTGTGGCCTCCATAAAACTGAAGGGCAGGTATAACTGGAGTGTGTTTGACTGCACTAGAAGGCTAAGAGCTAAGGTCATAGTGCAACTGGAGATGAGGATTTCAGATGTGTAGCAAGTCTGTGTAAAGATGAGGTCCCAGGTACAGCCACAGGAGTAGCGAGGAGCAAGTTTAAACAGTCTGACTTGTGATACAGCAGTCAACAGCTGAACCTAGTAGGGAAAACATTCATTAAACAGATGAGTATCTGGTGAATATGAATATACCAGTTTTTCTCAATGTTTTTGTAACCCATAGCTCTACTTCTCATATTACCTAAAAATCTCACATTTTCCCACCTTCAGTGCTATTTAAAATTTCACAATTAAGTATCATGACTAAAAATCAAAGCAACGGTAATTTTGTAAGGCAAAATTTATTCAGATGATGTGATAACCCAGTCACTGTTAAGCCTTAACTTTTCTTTCCTAGGTGGTGTAGAAGATGTAACAAAACACAAGCTGCTTTAACAATACTCTGGTACTGCTTTCTCCGCAGAGCTAGATATACCCCCTCCCCCCAAAAAAGCTTTTAAGATGTAAAGAGAAAACGGAATGAATTCTTCTCATCTTTTTAGACATTTTATATCCCAATTTCTCTAGAGTCTTTATCTGGAAGTTTCTAGTCAAAACAATCAGACTTTTGAGTTCTACATACTCCTCTTGAAGTTCTTTCAGTGAGGACCAAATATCAGTGAAAACATTCTTTCCAAAAGCTACCACGGGTAGATTTTAAGAACAACGTCAAGAACAAATAGTTCTGGATATTTCATGTTTTTTTTCTTGAAATAACTTTTATGAATCTAGTCCTTCAAAGATGGCCAAGCAAATTGGACATTTTTAGTATAAGTTTGCTATGTGTAGCTGGATTTTTGGTAAGTTTTGCTTAAAGTATTTCTTTTTTTTTTTTTGCTTAAAGTATTTCAAAACAAGCAGGGATGTTGGTGCTTGCATTTTGACATTTCATGGTCTATGTGTTTTAAGCTTCAATGCATTAAATTCTGCTGAAAGTTTTAATTTATGAAATTTTAAAGTACAGATTCTCTTTAGGTGGTGTTTCAAAATCAGAGGGTTGTTTTGTCATTGGTGTTCCAAAATCAGTTCTGTCCATAAATTCAGCTGAATACAGTTGACAACCAAGGAACCTCAGTATGTAACAGAAAATACTCTTCAACAGCATTCTGAACAGATCTTCAAAAATCAAGGCAAACTGGGATTGAATCTACCATTTTTCACAAAGGTTAACTGACAGAAAGGTGAAGATTTCCAGTAGATTATGGGCCAGTTGATGGAAGCTGATGCCTGGTGGTGATTGCTACAGTACATCTTAAACACAGTTTTCTTCAGTTTTTGCCAAAAACCCAGATTTAAAACACTACTGTAATGGATACCCTTATAATATTATAGTTTTCCTCCAACTCAGTTCATTTGCTACAGCTTCAAAAATACTGTCTTTAGTGGTCAAGTATTAGGCTTATGAAACCAGCACACTCAAGAGTTTTTAAAGCCTATTTTAAACATAAGCAAAGCACATTTTTATCAGATTCTTCTCAACTAAGCAAAGAAGGCTGAGCTGATGTTTTTAAAACATGAAGTTTGATATACTCAGTCATCAATCCAGAGTTAAGACTGCAGAAGTAGATGAAGAAAGTCTGGAATTCCTCAATTTCCTCTCAAAGTTGTGGCAGCACTTGGAATGCTAGGCTTCACAAGTTTCTCCATTTTTTTCTCCTTTGCAATTAAAAGGGCTATTTAATACTATGCTTTCATAGCCTTTGAAGATTGCTGTTAATATTCCAATACTGTCCAATCTTAAAGCTGCAGAGAATTGTGCTTTGCAGAATACTCCACTGTTGTTATAGCATAAATTTAACAGTGTTTGGCATGGTGTCACTGCCCAACATTTTCAGGTAACTCAGCTGAAGAAGTTCACCCTATCTTCTGCGTCATAACGTGAATATATACTTGATAAAAGCCTCAAAAAATTTTTTGGCTGCCATCTTTACCTACCTCAAAGGAGAAAACAGAAAAAGGAGTACCGATGGTGGAAGCATCTGGTCCTTCTTGGAGAACGATGAGTGATTTTATTGGCGGCAGCTGGGTGGCAGAGCAATATAGGCATCCAGTTATGCCTGAGCCCCAAGAAGTGAAATCTTTGTTCATTTCCTTTTTATACACCCATCTGCCGCCTAAAACCTGACACCATTTAATGGTGCCCTTGGTCAAATCTATAAATGATCTTACTTTCATAATCCTCTGATTCTAGCTTGAAGAGTCAAGATGAACTCTAACTCATGGGATGGACAAAATGGGAGATGCAAATAAGTAAGCTTTTCAGAGCTAAAAAGCCTCTTTTTATACAAAATTAAACTTTAAAAGAACATTGACCTCAAAACAACATAACTATCTTGGATATGCTATAAAAATAGCAGTATGTTCCCACCCACAGTGAACATCTGCAGCTACCCAACCTGTCATACCTCATTAATTATAGGCCTTACTCTGAATGCTGCTTGTTCTATCTTTGTACTCCCACCAGCCAAGGAGTTCTTTCCAACTTTATTTCTTATGAAATGTTTTTTCTTTTTAACATTATACACTATAATTTTGTAAACTATAACTCTTCGCCATATCTGCAATGCTAATATAATTTGTGAGGGAGAGAATGCCTTTCTCTCCTATTCCTAAAAATCACTGACTATTCCTTGAGTCTGTGAGTGACAACACTCTACTCAGTCCCTAAAACTAAAAAGCATGCTTACCTCCAAAGTAGATAAAAAATGTGTTGAATTGGTAGCTGACAAAAATTCACTGTACCCAGAACTGTGTGATGGATAATGCATAATATTAAATAAACCATTATACAAAAATAGTTTATTATAATGATTATTATTATGAGAGTTTATTCAGTAAAATTCTAAATTATGCTACTGTAATGTTATATGTTGAGCAATGAAAGGCAGTAACAAAACTATGTCATCAATTACTAAGTTTATACATACATAAAAAATTTTTACCTCTTCAATGTAATTCCTATGTTTGGCAACACCATCTACCTAAATTCTGGTATATGGTTGAACATAAAAGTTTTATTTCCCTTTAAATATTCTATATTTTGAAAGGGTTTATCCCCAATTTGTTTTACTTGGTTTTGGGGTTTATATTTACTGGTATGCTTTATAAGTAAGAGTGTTCTCTGGCTTCCCTGGTTGAAAAGACCATCTCTTTTCTCCTGTCTAAATTGGCTTTCAATTAAAATTTCAGTTTTGAAATCCTTTCAGAAAATTCTAACAGAGGATTGAAAGGTTACGTTCTTACATCAGCTTCAGTGTACTAAAACCCAGAAGTACAGGACATAGTTTCTCGGGGCAGCAACCTTTGTTACCCTGGGGAAAGCATGGTGCTAGGGTTTGTGCTTAAAGTCAAGTTCGTTTGATGAAATTAGCAGTGATTTGTAGTTAAGATTTGTGTCTTATGTGTCCACTTACCAGTAACTGTAAGTTGGAAGAGTATGATAGTAGCTAATGTACGATGTCTTAGGACAGTGTTCTGTTTATGTTTTGACTGCAATCCAGAGTAAGCAATACATTTTACTCTCAGACCAAGTATACACACATGTACATAAATTTAAAAGTTTCATAAGACAGTGTTTACCTTAATATGTTCCATGCACTCTGATATATTCTGTTTAATATTAAAATAATGCTGGGCATGACCCATTTATTTTAAGACCCACTAATTGGTCAACCCCCACAATTTGAAAACCACTGCTATAGGAGAACATGAGGAAATATTTTATAAACTGTAAAGTACACTGAAATGTGTATGCAGCTGCTAATGAATATCCAGGATAAGACTTTTACGGGCCTGAGACATTCTCTCCTTCCTTGGGTACTGCTAGGAGTCACATTCACCTAGGCTTTTGGTAAGGAAGACAGTATTCAAACTGTCATTGAGACAACTCTGTAGTAACTCGGCAATGTATTAACCAAATCAGAACCCAAAGAAAAGAAGACAAGTTAGAGGAATATGAAAAAAAGCATACATCTGCTTAGTGCTTTATGGTTTATAAAATACTTTCACATACATGATCTCTTAATCTTAAGCCTAGGGGAAAATAAGCTAAGAGGTAGAGACCTGCCCAAGATTAGACAGTAAGTGGCAGAGCCAGGTCATCTGTTCCTAAATCCCTCACTCCTTTCACTGTGATAAAATACCAGGAAAGGAGAGTGATCAGGGCATGAGGCTTCTGATCCATCAAAAAGATGTTTATGTCCTCTGCCTCCCTCTGTAGGGAAAACAGACCCTACTGATGGGTGAGGAAGCAACCTCAGACTTTGGGAAGGGGGTGTGTCCAGTTGCACTTAATTTGTCCAGGACTCAAACCTGGCATTTCAGCCTATCAATACCAGTCATGTTTTTTTGTATGTGTGTTTTTTCTCCAGTCATCTGTTTTGACACTGCTCTGAGTTCCCAAATGTCTATTATCTACAAGTATTATGGCTTTCCATTCCTATGTGTTAAGGGTCCTGGGATCTTGGTCACGTACACACTCAGGACTCAACAGAGGGAAATCAAATACTAGGGATATGTCACCTATACTCAGATTCAAAGGGAATAACAGTAGTAAGCTTCTGGTGACTGTTGTGTCTTTGCTTAGCTTCCCCGGGGAAGCCAGTCGGCCTCAACCAATTTGTCTCCTTTCTCTACATATGCCCATCTCCATTATTGTGCCCTCATCTCTCACAAAAAAGAGGTTCAACTAGCAAGTACCCATCTCTCCCAGCTCCCCTTTTCTCTCCGCTCCCTTCAACCCCTCACCCTCTTTCCCCCTTGTGCCTCTCACCTTGTACTCCTGCACCACCTCCTCCAATGGCACCACACTGTGCTGTTTGTGGCTCCTGGATTCTCTGCACACCACACAGATGGCCTCTTTGTCCACCTCACAGAAGAGCTTCAGGGCTTCCTGGTGTTTGGAGCAGATGCCCTGGTCATTCCCCCAGCTTCCTCGATAAGGAGTGGGGCACATTTGGCGAATTATCTGGACCATGTTGGCCAGCTGCAAGTTGGGACGAAAGCTGCGACGTGTAAAGCTCTTTCGGCACTGGGGACAGGTGAACTGACGTGGAGGGGCCGGAGGAGGCAGGTGGGTGTCAGGATACAGCTCTTGGTCGTCCTCATCGTATTCTTCCATTATCTCCTCTTCTGGGTAGACGTCAATTCTCAGGTCATGTCTCAAGCCTCCCAGGTAATAGTCCCGGTCTTCCTCCTCCTCTTCCTCCTGGTCCACGTTGTCCCAATTTCTGACGCCACCGTCACCAACCCAGAGTTCATCATCTTGGTCCTGGAACACCTCCTCATCAGCATTGCCCTGGTACAAAACCTCTCGAATAGAGTTGTCCCATCCACCGATGGCCCCCTCCACATCGTCGTCCTCCCATTCATCTTCCTCCTCTTCCCTGTCTTCCTCATCTTTGCCCCACAGCTGGGTCACACACCCTCGGCAGAAGTTGTGCCCGCAGCCTATGGACACAGGATCCTTGAAGTAATCCAGGCAGATGGCACAAACCGCTTCCTCCTGAAGGGTCTGCATGGGGTTAGGAATAGTGGCATAGCCAGCCATTTTAATGCGCAGTCTGTGTGTGTGGATGCCTCAGCTCGGAGCTGAGGAGCTGGGGGACTGCTTTGCGGGCCTGCCTCCAAGCTACGCTTGTGACCCAAGGCTGTTCTCAACCCTGCTCTTCCTCCTCAGGCCCGCAGAGATGCCTTCCTCCCTTCCCTCAGGCTTTTTCCAGCTCAAGGCGCGAAAGCCCGCGGTCCAGACTCAGCCGCCCTCCAAGGGCAGCGGGGGCTGAACCAGGCTGCAGCCTTCACTTTCCTTTGAGGCTCAACTTGCAAACCCAGATCCTGACGTTTCTTGCTTCCCTCCGGGTTTACCCGATCCAGCGGCGTCCTCCTCAGGTGTCGACACTCCTCACCCAGCCCGAGGCGACAGAAAATGACGCAGGCGCTCTAACCCACACTCGGGAAGGGGTAGACTGAGCCGACGGAGGACCACATTCTCTATGATGCCCCAGGGGACGCCACAGCTGGGAGCCCGGCCGGCCATGCAGCCAGCCCGAAGAAGAAAAGACTAGTGAGAATAAGTAGAGGTGGAAAGAATCAATTTAAGCCATTGAGCGGCTTACCGCCGCTCCAGTTAGCCAGATACATGAGATTCGGCGGTCTCACCGGAGCCGGTACGCAGGAACTGACCCAAAACGGGGGGGAGTGCGGCGGCCAAGCTCGAGCTCTGGTGCACTTCCGGCCCTTCTAGCCGGAGACCTTTGTGGTAGTGAGAACGTCTTCTCAGAGGCTGCGCTCGGGGGCGGGGGCGTGCGCTGCAGAAACGCAGCGAGGTGGGGCTTGCGGTGGCGCGGAGTTGCTGTGAGGGCTAAGGATCTCGCGTGGGGGCTCGCGTGCCTCCCAACTTTTCTCCTCAAAACGGTTAACCCCTTTATTTTTATATTTATTTATTTGAGAGACAGAGTGCAAGCGAGAGAGTATAAGCAGAGGGAGAGGCAGAAGCAGGCTCCCTGCTCAGCAGGACCCTGGGATCACGACCCGAGCTGAAGGCAGCCGCTTAACCGACTGAGCCACCCAGGCGCCCCCAGTTAACTCCTTTAGTGCTGCCTGCAGAGCCTCGGCCTCCTAGCCCTGATCTCTCCCGCGACTTTTACTTCTATGTCCATCAGCACTGTCCTGCGACCACTTAGATACCTCAGACTCAGCATGCCCTACACTGACTTCTGTAGATCTTTTTTGCCTTCATTGATAATGCTTCCATTCACCGTCCACTTACCTATCTATGCACGCATGCATGCATCCATTCATCCACCCAGCTACCCATTCATTTTAATTCCATCCATCATATACATACATAACCCATCCATTTATCCATCCACTTTACAGGAACAAAAATGTAAGGCATGATCAATCCCTTCAAGGAGTTCAGAGTTCTAAGTGTGTGGTTTTCCATAACCCAAGGTTTTACAAGGTTTACTCGACCCTCACTAAGAAATGCACTGCACATGTTAATCCAATACAGACTTGTACATATATAACAGAAACAGAATTTCCCTTATGGCATTCAAGGCACCCTGATATGTTCTGTTCTATTTTCCCTAAGTAAGATGCTGTTCAAGATCCACTGGTATGATTGAACCCCTCATTAATTGGTCACTGTTTGGTTTGAGGAACACCACCTGCCCTAATGGAATCTTCAAGGCACCCTGGAATCCCTCCTCTCCTTCTCTGGGCCCAAACTTGAATCGTAGGTTCTACAGAGCAAGGATGGTAAATGTGCTGTTAACATTGTACATGCAGCTTCTCTATCATAGTGCTGATGGACATATAGCAAGTACTTCTTACATATCTGCTGAGTAAATAATGAACAAACCCAACAAATTGCAACCATCAAGTCCTGCTGATTTTTATTTCCTCAAATCTAGGCCACCTTCTCTGTCTCTGTTCCTGCCATCCTAGATCTGACCCCATCAGGTTCTGGCTGGACAAAAAGTTTCCTAAAGGGTCATGTGCACTCATTTCAGTCCATCCTGCAGCCAGCAGAACCATCTGCCTGAAATGGAAGTCTGACACACACATGCCAGGCTGTTGCCTCTATGTCTTTGGGCATATTCTCCCACCTAAACGGCTTTTGTCTCACTGCTTCACCCAGATATAACTCCCTAATTATCCAGGTCTCTGCCTAGGCATAATCTGAAGGAGATTCTTCCACGAGGCTGGTCCCAGGCTGTTTTAGCACCCCAAATCTGTCACTTTCTGAGTGACCTTGGATTAGTTTCTTAACAACTGTGCTGCCATATCCCCATCTGCAAAATAAAGATGATAGTGGCACACACATTAGGGTTGTTGTGAAGTTGGTATTCCAATTCCAATTATTGACATCCGTAATTAGAACGGTGCCCAATGGGGTTATCCCCATTACCTACCATTATATTCCTTTCCTGTAGTAGACAAGCCATAGAAGAAACTCACCCCATCTCCTGTTCTCTTCCTCTTTGAATAGGATCAAGAGATTGGGACAGTCTGGTGAAAAGTAGCCCACCATCTGTCGTTTAGTGGTTCTGAGAGCCTTATGTTTGGAGAGGGAGGGAGTTGAAACCCAGCCTTGACATGCCTACAGTAGGGCACCTACTGGGAGTGTTTGTTAGGAAACTAACAAATTCCCAGTATGCAATCTGGGACACTTCCCAGAGGTCCTGACTGAGCCTGAGGAGCCATGAGGGAAAATCTGAGCAACAAGAAGTGGAACTGTGTTTCAGGGCTGGAATACTCACCCATCTCTGAATGCAGGTTCTACCTTACACAGCAGCAGCTGGGGAGCAGAACAAGGGAAGAGGGGGCTGCTCAAAAGCAAATTCTTGCTTGCCGTTGGGGGGGGTGTACTGAACCCAGGAAGGAAGGAGGAGAGCTGAAGGAAAAGAGCAAGGGGGAACATGTACAGGGAGAAGAGGGTGAGAGAAGGCTAGAGGGAGCATCTTGGAGGAACTGGTAAGACTTAAAAGGAGCATATAATGGATACCCATTCTGAAGAATACCTAGGTGTATAAGAATCTTTAATACCTATTTCTTTTATCTTCTCTAAATTACCGTTCCTCATATCCAAGTGCCAGCTGGAAGGGGCTTCTTTCATATTCCCTCAGGTTGTTGTAAAGCCTCTCTTTCCGGGTTAGAAGAGAGGCTTGGTTTTAAGCCCCCTTGCAAGCCTGGCATCCCTGCAAAAAGGCATGCTCCTATTTGCAGGACTGCTAGCTGTCTCTTGAATCCAACTTGGAGCTGTGGGTTGTCAGAACAGGTGACCTGGCACACCCAGGGCATCAGGCCACTTTCTCAGGGCATTGGGAAAATGGCAGCGGTGGGGGGTACTCACAGGCTGGAGCTTAGCAATGGTGGTAGCTGCTGGTGTATTTTTCACAGGACTTGCAGAAAACGTATCCATGGAAACTCACATCAGCTTTTTTTTTTTTTTCCCTAAGATTTTAAGTAATCTCTACACCCAAGGTGGGGCTTGAACCCACAACCCCAAGATCAAGAGTTGCATGCTCTTCCCACCAAGCCAGCCAGGCACCACTCACATCAGCTTTTTTAGGCTGGAGAAGCCCGCACAAGAGTTCAGGTGCAGGGGCACCTGGGTGGCTCAGTTGGTTGAGCGACTGCCTTCAGCTCAGGTCATGATCCTGGAGTCCCTGGATCGAGTCCCGCATCGGGCTCCCTGCTCGGTGGGGAGTCTGCTTCTCCCTCTGACCCTCCCCCCTCTCATGTGCTCTCTCTCTCTCAAATAAATAAATAAATAAATAAAAGGATTCAGGTGCAGATAATTTTTTTTCTTCTTTTTTTTAATTCATTCGAGATACAGAGATACAGAGAGAGAGAGAGAGAATACGAGCAGGGGGAGAAGTAGAGGAAAGGGGAGAAGCAGGCCCCCCGCTGAGCAGGGAGCCAGACGTGGGGCTCAGTCCCAGGACCCTGGGATCATGACCTGAGCCGAAGGCAGACGCTTAACCATCTGAGCCACCCAGGTGCCCCTTCATTTTTTTAAATTATGTTCAATTAGCCACCGTATAATACATCATTAGTTTTTGATGTAGTGTTCAATGATTCATTAGTTGTGTATAACACCCAGTGTTCATCCCAACATGTGCCCTCAATACCCACCACCCAGCGACCCAATCCCCCCACCCGCCTCCCCTCTGAAACCCTGTTTGTTTCCCGGAGTCCATAGTCTCTTATGTTTCATCTCCCTCTCTGATTTCTCCCCCTTCAATTTTCAATCCCTTCCCCTATGGTCCTCTGTGCTATTCCTTATATTCCACATATGAGTGAAACCATATGATAATTGTCTTTCTCTGACTGACTTATTTCACTGAGCATAACCCCCTCCAGTTCCATCCGTGTTGATGCAAATGGTAGGTATTCACTCTTCTGATGGCTGAGTAATATTCCACTGAATATATGAACCACATCTTCTTTATCCATTCGTCTGTTGAAGGGCATCTTGGCTCTTTCCACAGTTTGGCTATTGTGGACATTGCTGCTATGAACATTGGAGTGCATGTACTCCTCCTTTTCACTACATCTGTGTCTTTGGGGTAAATACCTAGTAGTGCAATTGCTGGGTCTAGGGTAGCTCTATTTTTAACTTCTTGAGGAACCTCCATCCTGTTTTCCTGAGTGGTTGTACCAGCTTGCATTCCCACCAAGTGTAAGAGGGTTCCCCTTTCTCCACATCCTCTCCAACATTTGTTGTTTCCCGTCTTGTTGATTTTTGCCATTCTAACTGGTGTAAGGTGGTATCTCATTGTGGTTTTGATTTTGTATTCTGCCACATTGCTGAAAGGACCACCTTTGCAGTATCCCATAGGTTTTGGACCGATGTGTTTACATTCTCATTAGTTTCCATGAATTGTTTAAGTTCTTCCTTAATTTCCTGGTTGACCCAATCATTCTTTGGTAGGATGCTTTTTAATTTCCACATGTTTGAATTCCTTCCAAATTTTTTTGTGATTGAGTTCCAGTTTCAAGGCATTGTGCTCTGATAACACGCAGGGAATAATCTCAATCTTTTGGTATCAGTTGAGGCCTGATTTGTGACCCAGTATGTGGTCTATTCCAGAGAAAGTATGCTCGAGAAGAATTAGCATTCTGTTGTTTTAGGGTGGAATGTTCTGCATATATCTACGAAGTCCATCTGGTCCAATGTGTCCTTCAAAGCTCTTGTTTCTTTGTTGATCTTCTGCTTAGATGATCTGTCCATTGCTGAGAGTGGAATGTTAGGATCTCCTACTATTAAATGTATTATTATCAATATGTTGCTTTATTTTGGTTAACATCTGGCTTATGTAGTTGGCTGCTCCATGTTGAGGGTACAGATATTTACAACTTTTAGATTTTCTTGTTGAATAGACCCTTTAAGTATGATATAGTGTCCCTCTACATCTCTTACTACAATCTTTGGTTTAAAATCTAATTTGTCTGGGCGCCTGGGTGGCTCAGTTGGTTAAGCGACTGCCTTCGGCTCAGGTCATGATCCTGGAGTCCAGGGATCGAGTCCCGCATCGGGCTACCTGCTCAGCAGGGAGTCTGCTTCTCCCTTTCCCGCTCCTCCCTCTTGTGCTCTCTCTCTCAAATAAATAAATAAAATCTTTAAAAAATAAAATAAAATCTAATTTGTCTGATATGAGAATTGCTACCCCAGCTTTCTTTTGAGGTCTATTGGCATGATAAATGGTTCTCCATCCCCTCACTTTCAATCTGGAGGTGTCTTTAGGTTCCAAATAAGTCTCTTGTAGACTGCATGTGGATGGGTCCTGTCTTTGTATCCAATCTGCAACCCTGTGCCATTTCATGGGAGCATTTAGGCTGTTCATGTTGAGAGTAACTACTGAAAGATATGAATTTAGTGCCATCATATTGCCTGTAAAGCCCATTTCTATAGATTGTAAATTTCTGGTCTATGTTACTCTTGGGGTCTTTCTACTTTTATAGAATCCCCCTTTATTATTTCTTGCAGGGCTGGCTTGGTGGTTACATATTCTTTCAGTTTCTGCCTGTCCTGGAAGCTCTTTGTCTCTCCATCCGTTCTGAATAACAGCCTTACTGGATAAAGTTTTCTTGGTTGCATGTTCTTCTCATTTAGTACCCTGATTATGTCTTACCAGCCCTTTCTGGCTTGCCAGGTCTCTGTTGACATTATTCTGATGTTCCTCCCTCCGTAGGTAAGAAATCTCTTCCCCCTAGCTGCTCTCAGGATAGCTGCCTTGGCTCTAAGATTAGCAAGTTTTACTATTATATACCGGGGCATTGGTCTATTTTTATTGGTCTTGGGAAGGGTCCTCTCTGCCTCTTGGACATGAATACTTGTTTCCTTCCCCAGATTAGGGAAGTTCTCAGCTATGATTTGCTCAAGTATACCTTCTAGTCCTCTCTCTCTCTCCACCCCCTCAGGGATCCCAATAATTCTGACTTTGGAACATCTCATGGTGTCACTGATCTCATGGGCTTCTAGTTGTTTACCCCTATCCTTGACTTCCTTCCTTTCTATCAGCTTATCTTCTAGATCATTAATTCGTTCTTCTTTCTCATTTGCCCTAGCTGTTAAGAGTATCCAGTTTAGACCACTTCCCTTTCATAGCATTTTTAAGTTCAGTGCAATTAGATCTCATTTCTGCCCTTAGAGATTCTATATTGTCACAAATGTTTTTTTCAAGCCTAGCTAATGATTTCATAAGTGCTACCCTGAATTCTATGTCTGACATCTTTCTTATATCCATATCTGTTAGCTCAGTGGCAGAGGCCATTGTCTCTGGTTCTTTTCTTTGTTGGGATTTCCTCCTCCTAGTCATTCTGTTGAGGGATGGTTGAGGGAATGTACAGAGTCCAAAATACCAACCACGACCCAGGCAAGATGCACCCTAGGAAAATCTGGAGTGGTCGGAAGCCACCACTGAAAAAACAAAGCCAAAATGAAACCCAAGAATAAAATTTATAAAATTAAAAAAAATTTTAAATTATAAATTTTAAAAAGGGGGTGAAGAGAAGGGGGGCTATAATCTCTCAGTGTGGGCAAAGTAGGATGTTTCAGTTCTTCTTGGGTGTATTTTGTTCTGTTTGTTAGAGGACACTACTTCCCAGAAATCCAGGGAAAGTAAAACTGGTATATATATAAAGGTAATATTGAATGGGGAAAGGACTACACTAAAGCATATATCTGTAAAAAAATGTAGGTGTGAGAAAGTACAAGTTAAAAAGCTACTATGAAATATAAGTTGATATGTTGAACATCTAGCTGAAATGAGAAAAAGGTAAAAAGAAAAAAAAAAACAGAAGAAGCGTAAGAGAAAGAATAAAAAGAAAAAGAGAGTTGTATCTGAAAAATTCACAAGCCATGAGGCAATGCCTGGAGCTCAATATACTATTTTCCCCTGGTGTTGGGGTTTTACAGTTTTTATGGGGCCCCTCGGGTTGTTACCCTCTTGTTCTTCCAGCCTATCTTCTGGGGGAGGGGCCTGCCGCGCTGTTTCTCAGGCAACCCGGCTTGGTCAGAGTTGCCTGGGTGGTGGTGGAGGGGGAATGGGCTCCTTGGAAACCGGTTTTTTGAGTTTTTGAGCTTTTGTTCTCTGGTGGCTTTCAGCGCCTCTTCCGCCTCTTCTGGGGGTCAGAGCAAAAATGGCTGCACCCAAACCTCTGTCCCGGAGCAGAGAAATCCGTCTGCTCTTCTCTGAACCCTCCAGAACACACAGTCTCCGTTTCTGTAAGCGCCGGTGACAACCGCAGCCTCCCCACGGTGCACGCTCACAGCAACCTTCACAGAGGTCGACCCAGGGGCCCCGGCCCGTCTCTGCCCTTTGTGCCTCTAAAAGAGCGAGTGGTCCCGGTTCGCGCGCTCGCCACCAGGCCCCCCCCCGGCGTCCCTCCCACCCCAGCTCCTGGATCCTGTTTGAGCCCCGCTCTAAAGCCCTGCCCGGTTGGAGTGTTTGCCCCTTTTGGAGCAGGACGCTTTCTGCGCTCGGTTGTTATAGCACTTTCCCGGCACCAGCTTATGGTGGCTCCCTCCCGCTTCTGTTTATCTTCCCATAGCTGCCCGCAGATTCACGATTCAGCCCTTCCTACCTCGCGCCTGGTGGCGTTTTTCTGCTTGTAGAGATCCAGATGTATCTTCTTACATCTCAGGCTGGTTTCGTGGGTGTTCAGGATGGTTTGGTAGATATCCAGCTCAATTCCGGGGACCAGTGGAAACAAGGTCGCCTACTCCTCCGCCATCTTGCTTCCCTCCTCCCAGTTGCAGATCATTAAATGCCAGTTTATGGTGATGAGGCAAGCTCTTGTTACACCGACACTGGGAGCATCTGTCAGAGGTACTAGAGAGGCAGTCTAGCATTGGCTAGGTTGCACAGGGGTTGTCAAATCTGGCCCTCGGTTTCTTTTTGCAAGTCCCAAGAAGTAAGAATGGTTTTTAAATTTTAAAGGAGTTATTTAAAAAAATAAAGATGAATATGTGGTTGGAGACTGTATGTGGCCAGAAAAATCTAAAATATTTACAATCTAATACTTTACAGAAAAAGCTGATGCCTGGGCTAGGATGCATGGAATAGAGGACCTCCAGAGTGCCTTTTGATGTTGGGATTCTGGCTTGTGTCTCTCCTCTGGGTTCAAGAGTCAGGCTCTTCCCCTACTCCTAGCACTCCCTTCCTCAGTCTGATTCCAGAAGTCCTGGCTGGACAGGGTGAGTGTAACCAGTGGGTCTGCCTTGAGTCTGGTTGTGGGTTTGTGGCTGGTTTCAGTGTTACAGACTCCAGGAAATACTGGTGGTTCTTTCTCTCTGCTCCACTTGAAATGTAGCATCCACACAGAAATGCACAAATCATAAATTTATAGCTCTGAAAAAAATTTCGAAGTGTACATCCAGAACAAGAAATGGAGCACCCCCGGAAATCCCATGTCCGCTCCCGTTCATTTTCCACAGCAGGCAAGCACTGTCCTCACTTCTTCAGCCGTGAATTCGTTTTGTCTTTTTGTGAATTTCACAGAAATGGAACATACGGTGTATGCTTTTCTGCTTGGCTTCTTTCATTTTACTTAATGTCCAGGAGAGATTCATCCATGCCATTGTATAGAGTCATAAATCCTTCATTCCAATTTGGTACAAATATTCCATTGTGTAAGTAGAGCAGATTTGTTGATCTGTTCTTCTGTTGATGGGCATTTGGGTTGTTTCCAGTGTGGGGCTGTTATGAACAGTGCTCTGAACACCAGAATCTGTCATTTGGTGAACATAAGTATGCAATTTTCTTCTCCCAGGAGTGGAGTTACTGAGCCAGAGGGATACATATGTTTAGGTTTTTTGTACATTTTTTTTTAAGATTTTATTTATTTTTTTGAGCAAGAGCAAGGGGAGAAGTGGATGGAGAGGGATGGAGAGCAGACTGCTTCCTGAGCAGGGAGCCCGATGTGGGACTTGATCCCAGGACCCTGGGATCATGACCTGAGCCAAAGGCAGATGCTTAACCAACTGAGCCACCCAGGTGTCCCAGTTTTTTGTACATCTTACTTAACTATTATTTAAACCTTGGAATTAAGAGTCCCCTGCACTTTGGCCATTGGTCAGAGTTGCCTGGGTGGTGGTGGAGGGGGAATGGGCTCCTTGGAAACCGGTTTTTTGAGTTTTTGAGCTTTTGTTCTCTGGTGGCTTTCAGTGCCTCTTTCGCCTCTTCTGGGGGTCAGAGCAAAAATGGCTGCACCCAAACCTCTGTCCCGGAGCAGAGAAATCAGTCTGCTCTTCTCTGAACCCTCCAGAACACACAGTCTCCGTTTCTGTAAGCGCCGGTGACAACCTGTCGCGCTGTTTCTCAGGCAACCCGGCTTGGTCAGAGTTGCCTGGGTGGTGGTGGAGGGGGAATGGGCTCCTTGGAAACCGGGGTGTGTTGGGCTGGACCAGAGTGGGACCCTGAGGCTGAGTGAGAGGCTGTAACCAGACCACTGGAGTGCTACCCCAGGCCTCTCCTTGCTGGGCATCTCCCCAGAGTAGGCCAGGCCAGCCGGCATGAGATACCAGTCTTCAGGCAGCACACAAACTTAGGGATCTCAGGAGCAGCGTGTTCTTATCTTCAGAGATTTTAGGGGAGACCTCAAGCTCAGCCTGTCCCCCAAATCATTTTTCTCAAGGGGCCTTCTCTTCTCCTTACCTTCTGCCCAGCTAGCCTTTAGAATTGAAGATGATGAGTGCCAGGCCCCTCATCTCTTGATGGGGATAGAGGCTGGATGGAGGACAGGTGATCCAGGACAAGTTCCCCCTGTGTCTTCTACCCTGGTGCTCAGGCAGAGAAGAGCAGGGAGGCTGTGTGATTAAGAATCCACCTGAGAGCTCCTGAGAAGAACCTCCCCTCCCCCCCACCCAGTCCCATCTGATTCGTGGTCAGGCAGGGGCCTAACCTGGATGAGAGACACCCCCCCCTTGGAGCCTGCAGGATTCTTCCCCTCCCAACCTTCCCAGGCACCCCCCAGCTCCCTCCCACTGGCTGGCTTCTCTGTTTCTTCCCAGGCAAATGCCTCAGGAGGTGGTTGCCAGCCTACTCTGCCTTCTCTCTGAGTTGGTGCTGTGAGCGGGAAGTGGATTTTGGTAACAGCCTTCCTTTCCCTTAACTCAGGCCCAGCTTCTCTCCATCCCTGCTGTGATTCGTTGACTCTTTGGGTCTCTCCCTGTCCTGGACTTGCTCTAGCAGATGGCTCCATCAACGTGGCCAGCAAGCAGGCCTGGAGAAGCCTGCCTGAGGGTCAGCCGTTTGGCATAGGGAGCTGGCAGGCTGAATCCCTTCTCTTCTGCTCTTTGCCTTGAGGTGATGCTGTGTGACTCCATTCTGAAACTTACTATTCAGTTATGTGGCAGCATAGGGACGAGGCTAAAAAGACACCGATGAAACAGCCTGGGTCTTTAGTCCTCTCCTGTGTACATTGGTCTGTGAGCTTCTTCAGGAAGTTAGAGGAGGGGGAAAAAAAAACAGCCAACCCCGGGTATGGGCCTTCCTGCTGGGCTTTGTTGCTGGCCAGACCCTGACTACCTGGACATGTCCTAGAGATAGCCCAGAGCCATGTGCTGTGGGCATCATGGGACCTCAGAGCAAGGATGGCTAGGAGGGCTTCCAGGAGGTGGCTTGAGCACAAGTCTCAGAGAGTTCCTGGAGGCTGTGGGGAGCACAGGCATGGCATTCTAGGACTGGAGCAATGCAGTTACTTGGGGGGACTGAGGCTGCATTGGAGATGGCTTGTAAGAAAGCCTTGTATTTGGGGACACCTGGGTGGCGCAGTTGGTTAAGCATCTGACTCTTGGTTTCGGCTGAGGTTGTGATCTCGGGGTCGTGGGATGGAGCTCTGTGTTGGGCTCTGTGCTCAATGTAGAGTCTGCTTTGAATACTCTCTCCCTCTGCCCCTCCTGCTCATTCTCTCTCTCTCTAAAATAATCTTTAAAAAAAAAAAAGGCTTGTATTTGGTGGGCATAGAATCTAATATCCTTCACTGATTATTAATTATTAATCAATGCATTTATTCATTTAAAACATCATCACAGCTGGGTTCCAGCCAGGCCACACTGAATTTTGCCCTAAGTATGGTTGGCCTAAAAAAAGTTGTGGTCTGGGACCAGACTCCAGAGGGTTAGCAGGTAAGGTTTGTGTCAGTGTAGGGGTATATCAGGGCGGCCTGAGGACTAGAAGGCTAGTAGCATTCCTCCCACAGGGGAGATGTCCTGGCCTCTGTGAGCGAGGATGGTCTGCACGTGGAGATCCCATGGTCATGAGCCAAGGCCAGCCCAGTGTGGGCTGAGAGAGGGAAGCAGTTCCCAGGAGCAGCTAGTGGAAGTAATGTCCTGCTGGGTGAAAAGGCTGCTTTTCCTGTAGGTCTGCATTTTTTTTTTTTTCAAAGCTGCTGTCCTGCCCCTGCCAGATTTGTAGGCCCCTTTACTGCTTCCAGGGGTGCTCAGAGCCCTCCTCATTTGCCCTCCTGCCCCTATCCACTGCTAAGACTGTGGTCGTTATTGGGGGGCACCCAGGGCAACACTTAAGGCTAAGATGAAGTCCCTCTGCATTTGCCTTCTGTCTTCTCACAAGCTTCTCTCCTGGAAAGAGTGCTGAAGAAGGAACCAGGGAGGCAGGCAGGCATCTGGGCTGGTCCAGCTGGGTCCAGGGCCCCTGTCTTTGGTTGAGATCACTGACCAGCCATTGATTGCTAAGCAGAGAAGCAAAAATGGGGGTGGGAGCAAAGCCCGGGTTAGGGCAGACTGCCATACTTTCTGGGCCTGTTCATCCCTCTGTGAAATTAGACTCAGGACACCCAGGTTCACCTCCCACCTGGCCGTGGGGTGCTGGTTGATCGTGTTCCTTTGCCTCAATTTTTGCAGGTGCACCAGACTTAAACCAATATGTGCTTGGGGTATGGGTGGAAGGTAAGAGAGAGAGGGGGAGAGAGATGTGCTCTGGAGAGAGCAGACATCCTGGACAGGAGGGACTCTAATGTGAGAGGCCAAGGAAGGCAGCATGATGGTGGTGGGGTGTGTGTGTGTGTGTGTGTGTGAGTGAGAATGTCAAATTATCAGGGGCTTGTAGAGATGCGTTAGGGTCCCTTTAGGTCTAAAAAGTATTCTATGGTTCCATGGGCAAAACACTGAACTAGCTTGTAAGGGAATACAAAGTAAAGCCGAAGCATTGCTCAGTTTCCAAGATCTCATAATGCAGTTACAGAGCAGATACTCCCTGAAGGTCAGGGTGGCAGTGCCCTTAGCAGCAGGAAGACCAGATTCTGTCAGGGGTGTGAACTGTTCTAGCAGAGGAAGGCACTCAGGAAAGGGGAGAACAGCCTCCCCACCATCTGCTTCTCCACCAATACCCTGGGCCCTCACCCTGCCTCAGGGAATTTTTGACCATGTGTGCCCTTCCATTGGTGGGGGCCAGACCCACTTTGTGCCCCAACTTTTTTTTACCGTACCATTAGACAACTGTAAAAATAAAACCTTTATTGTCACAAAACCTTATTAATACAGGTCCACAAGCCCTTACGTGAAACCCTTCGGGCCAGATATATTTAAGAATTTAGAATTCTTTGGGTTTTAGAAAGTGCCAAGGTGCAGATGCTGAACATTACATAACATCTCCAGAGGTTGTCTGGGGTGACACAATGTAACCAAAGACATCAGTACTTCTGTGGAGAATTGTGAAAAGGCCCAATGGCCCACAGGTAGCCTCATTTCACTTCAGGTTGGGTTTTGATGCCAAAATCAGGAAGAAAATTCTGGTTTGGGGTTTTGCATTTCAGAACCGCAGATAAGGGATTGCAGACCTGGACTTACATGCCCATTTCCAGAATGGCACAATGGCGGTTCAATGGTGAGGTGCCCAGACTGGAGCCAGACTTCCTGGCCTCCCTCCTGG